TATTAGGAGATTTTAATTTTGATTCAAATGACAGAATTATTATTATTGATAAAAATTTTAGATAAGAAGTAAAATATTTAACTAATAAATTGAAATTTCACTATATATTTACACTGAAAACAAGTAAACAAGTGCAAGAAAATGAGCAAATTTGTAACTTGTTACAAATATGTATATGCAAATAAAAACAATTACTGTTAAAAATTACAAACTTAATTCTAATAGAAAAAATAATATTTCTATTATATATCCTAATTAAATGAATCACAGTGAACTAGATTATTATAGTATTTATTATGAGCATTTCAAATTCTTAAAAGCCTCTTCAATTTAGATTTTATATCCAAACAGATGCTTTCATATATATCAATAAACATTGTTCAATTATGTGAGTTTAATATCTTCAACTCTGCTATATCTTTATACTTCATGTGTTTTATTTTTAAATTTCTGCATAGCCAAAATTTACATAATGTAAAAATAAATGATTATTATTATGGACATATTTATAATAAGATTATTATTCTGCACTAGTGTAATTATTATTATTTTCTATTAAAAAAAATACATAATTTTATCACAAATTATAAGAAAATATCCATATCTACTACACTGCCATTTAAGACAATTTTTAAGAATATTTTGATATGCTAAATTTATTGTTATATTTTAGAACTTTCTGTATCAGTAAACAAATCTATAAATTACAATATAAAATTGTGTATCTTTGAAATTAAAATGATGGTTATAAAAGCATGACCAATATGATTAATGGAACTAGCTAGCATATCAAACATTTATCATTTATCTAATGCTTCATAATTTTTACATTATATGTAATCTTTTATTAATTTTACTATTGATTTTCATAGTTGCTGATTTTTTCAATCTCTTCTAATTACTGATTGTTTTGTTCACTGATTCAGAGTGAAAAACAAATTCTGAGAACAAAAATTAAAAAGATTTAGATGAAAACATTTTAAGATAAAGCTCTCTATTAATTAAACATTAAAATAGACTGTTCATGGAAACAATTACTAGACCAACAGAAAGTTGTCCATATACATATACACATTGTGTAAATTGACATTATTTGAATTCATCTTATTTCTTAAAATCAAGTAATCTGTTAATTAATGATGAAAATGATAATGATTAAATCAACCACCCAAAACAAATGATAACTGTTACATTATTGTTGTCTATCATCTCATATCATTTTTTAATTTTAAAATTATTCTGTAGTAAAATTAAGAATGTAATACAGACAATACATACAATTTCATACATAAATATAAATATTAACTATCCTGAATGAAAATTTTTTGATTTATAGTTTGAATTTATATATTATTTTATTCCTTTGAAGAGAAATTGGAATTTCTATATTATCAATTTTCAATATACAAGTTAACAAATGATAATATATTAATTCAATCTAGTTATAGAAACTTGTTAAATTCTTATAATTAACTTGTGAAAACAACAAACATTTGATATTTTGAGGCTAAAGTGAATCAAAACTTACAAACTGAAATTTCTGTAAAACTTTGTATTTAAAATTTCAAAATCAAATATTAAATACAGTTTAGGGCCATTAAGCTTTGAATTCGCTTAAGCTACGCAAAAAGCTTGGATCCCAATTTTTTGATACTATGGATCTAACAGACTTGGACATGGCTTCTCAAACATTCTAGACAGGTGTTGCTGCTATTTTGGCATTTCGAATGTCCTTGACTGATGTGCTATGCACTATCGCAGATTAAATATTTAAATGCTGTCTTATAACTTTAAAGAGGTATTTATAGAAGATTACTCTTTTATTTATCAATAAACAATAAAATAACTGTATATCAAACACACCTTGTTACTGAGATATTTTTGTTTATTACGACAAACAAACGGTTTCAACCCACTCAATTATAGGGCTATTAATTAATTAAGGAGTTCATAGAGCTGGAAGAGCAAGTATTTTTGGAAGACCAAAATATTCTTGTGGATATTAACTTGAGTGTAAACAAATTGACAAACCAGGTGCAAGTGCATTTAATTAAGAAATACAAGAGGAAGCTAGAGTGGATATGTGCCAAGCAAATGAATAATAAAGATAGGAGGATAAAGCCAACCACGTATATATTATGGGACCAGATCCATCTTCCACCAGATATCAAGAAAATTCTAAAGAAAGGTCCTAATTATGCTCCTGATAACACTGCAGACTGATGCAACACCATAGCCGAAGTTGAAAGAGGACTAATTGGTTTGGATGAGGTTAACAAAGATTATTTCTGATGGAAAACAACCCTTAGAAACAGAGGATACACTGCACAAGAAAATAGTTAGCTGAGAACAAATTAATATTAACTAGAGCAGATAAAAGTAAACATTTGGTAATAATGAAAAAACAATGATATAATGAAGCCTTAGAGAACTATATAAAAAACTGAATGTGAAAGGGTTGATCACAATATAGTTGATACAATAGCAGATAAGTCAAGAAGTTAGAAAAATTGCCCATTACCTTGTTCTTCTCTTTCCTAAAAGGGTCACACATCACAGGTGCAAGTATCCCCAGGTTATTCGGCTTTGCAAAAACACACAAAACAACAAAGAGATTAGACCAGTAGTTGAGAAATGTAAAGGGCCAACATATAAGCTAGAGAAATGCCTGCATAAATATTTGTCGGAACAAATTGGAGATCATCATTTTACTACGAAGAACCCATATAACTTAATAAGTGAATTCCAAGCTTTATCCTTAATCGACAAGGAAGTTGGATTGGTCATGGACTCAAGTATGTATCCATCAATAAAATTAGACTCATGTTATGATGTGTTAGTTGATATCTTATGCTGTTTAAACCCGAATGTGTTGACCTATCAGTGACGTAGAGATGCTAGCAAATCTTATGTGTTTTCAATCATTCTTCAGCTTTGAAGGTAGAGTTTATAAACAATTAAAAGGAGTTCTGATGGGCAGCCCAATATGGCTTATTCTGGCTTACTCTGCGAGTTAGTTTTACACAGAATAGAACAGATCAAGATTACAAATTTTAGCCAAGACATAATCCTATACAAAAGGTATGTGGATAATGTGTTTATTTTATGGAAGAATGATACGAGAATACATAATTTTTTTAAATGAAATAAATTCCAATAATGATGGTTTAAAGCTTAAATTGGAGCAGATTAGTCAAACACAAATAAATTTTTTTGACATTGCCATTTTATTCACAAATGGTTCTCTAAACATGAAAGTATATATCAAGCCCACACATGACCTGTTTGTTATACATCCCATGGGACTCCAATGATCCACATACTGTATATATAAACTCTCAGTGTTTAGAGCTCTGATTAGAAGGGCATTCCTGTATTGCTCAGACATATATGACAGACTGAAAGAGCTAAATAGGATTGGAGACATTGCAAAAATGTTGGGCTTTCAAACAAGAGTCATTAAAAACTTAATTAATTCTTAAACAGATGCTAAAGAAGAGAAGAAGAGAGATATGAACAAAACAACCGTATCACGAAGTTCACATATAACAGAAGTCTATCAGGTATTATGAAGAGATTGCAAATTACAAAAACATGACACTAATATACAAAAGGGCTCTCATGATATACAACTTACTCAGAAACAACAAGGATAGGATTGGAGAGAAAGAGCAAGCAGGTTTATACACGATACATATAAGAATGACCAACTAAGTATCAACAAAGAGTATGTGTGTCACAGCCAGGAACCTAAACAGAAGAATCAGGGAGCGTAAGTATGACATAAATAAAAGACACTAATCAACAGCGTTATCAAAGGTGGCACAAACAGATGAGTCAATGGTTGAATGGGCAGAAGCCAGAATTGTGGCACCAATACATTCACAGACTCTTGCATTAACATTAGAAAAGTGCAAAATATGTAAGTCTAGCCTGGCTGGAAAATGTTTGAACTATAAGGATGCCACAATTTGCCTTCAGCTTGGACGTATATAGTTAAAAAGAACTCATAATTTAATGTGGAGTATGCAGTCAATGTAGAATCATATGTTGTTATATTTATATTTGTATTTATTTTATGTATGTATTTTATTGTAATTTATTTCACCATGTTTATCTTGTTTAATTCTAATTGGACAGTTTCTATTTTGTATATTTTTGAATTTAACATAATGTTCGAAACACTTTGAATTTAATTTCCGTAGTGATTTGATAAGAACAGTAGCAAAAGAACTGTTGTAAATGTTAAATTAACATCAATAACCTGAAGATGACCCCTTGAGTGGGTTGAAAACATTTGTTCATTGTAATAAACAACAATATCTCAGTAACAAGGTGTGTTTGATATACAATAGAAAATCTGAGTATAGATTGTAATTTAATAAAATAACTTACAATGAAATTCAAATACAGTATTAATCTATTTTATCCATGCTGAGTGTCAGTGTTATGGAGGCTGCCATTGTAACCAACTCACACCTTACAATGCTACAAAGTCAATCTGCGGTAAATCTGCAAAAAATTGACTCGTATTTAAAGTGTGAAATAAAATGTTTTTGATATGTTTTGTTATTCTTAAATAATAAATTATATTTTGACAGAATATTGATTTTTAAGTATTAGTAGAATTTTCTTTAAACTATAAAATCAACAACATAATTATTGATGTGACAAATAAATTTTTGTAAAGTTTATTAATTTCATAATTTATTTACACCTGTTTTAACTGAACAATNTTATTATTAATTTCAAGACCATTAATCAAAAAACATTTACTTTTTTATTATTTATTGTAATTTATGCATTATCAAAAAATATTTAAGCCACAATTAAGCAGTTTGGACCCCAATCACCGCAGCTTAATAGCCCTACAAGTGTTTATTAAATGAATGAATTGAAAAACTTAATGCCAAATTTCATATTTCAGAATTTCATTTTATGTACTATGTAACTTTATGGTTTGAAAATGTTATATTTAATGAACATAATAACACAAATACTTAATTTAATAATTAAAAAATTTATTTTTGTGGAATATCCAAAAGATGTTTGTGGAAAAAATTTTATGGTCATAACTCTTCATGTTTGTCATGATCTGAAAATAAAAACTCATACAGATTAATTACAAGCAGAAAAAAAGTTATATTTTAAAAGAACTGAAACTGATGTTTATAAGTAATTATTATAAATCTCTAACCTGTCTGTAATTTTGTTGAAACCTTTCCTTCTTTGTACTGTTCAAAAAGTTGTTTGATTTCTGTGTCATAATCTTTCCATTCTGGAATGATTCTCATTGCACTAACTAACTTAGGTTCTTTTGTTTTTGGATTATTACACTGAAAGATGAAAAATATGTATGAAAATCATATATAAAATAAAAACATTAAAAAAAAATTAAATTAATTTACCAGATCTATTGTTTTAGCATACTGTTTTGATTTATCATCACACCATGTTTCACACCATAACCATTCTTGAGGTAAGGATTTAATATTTACTTGATGAATCATATTATTGGGAAGATCCTAACATGATAAAGTTTAATAAATTAACACAATTATATATTATACTATTTATAAATTGCAAATTTAATTACCTGATCTAAATTGGCTAAACTATTAGGATCTTGACTGAGACCTTGATATTGTCCTCTCAGTCTATCTCCAGCTGCTATGCGTCTGAATTTTTTCAGATCTACCACATACAGTGCACTGAAGAAAAATATATATATATACATTGTAATCATCATCATCAGACTTAAAAATTTATGTCTTATTAAATAATAAATTATATTTTGACAGAATATTGATTTTTAAGTATTAGTAGAATTTTCTTTAAACTATAAAATCAACAACATAATTATTGATGTGACAAATAAATTTTTGTAAAGTTTATTAATTTCATAATTTATTTACACCTGTTTTAACTGAACAATATTTCCACTAATGGAATAGAATGTTTTTAATTCTTATTACTTTTATGTTATTCTATTTAAGATATGGAGAAAACTAACTGACCTGATGTGGTATTTTCTGCCAGCTAGATGAGATGCCCAATAGCCTGATTTCCAAAATCTAGGACAAATAATTTGAATCATTATAAATTTATTCCTATTATTATTTTATATTAAATAAATACCTGTAGCCATCCATATCAGTTCGACTATCACAAAATGGAGTGTAACCATAAGGAGCTCCACCCAAATCCAAATCTCTTAATTCTTTCATGTCGCCTCTGACAACCTTTAAAATCATTTTAATTTTTATTTATAATACAAAAATAAAATATTTTATATACAGTAATACCCCAAACTTACATGATAGGTGAGACTGAGCAATAACTGCGTAAGTCGGGGTATAATTTTGCAATTTGTGTAAAATCTAAGTCAGATGTATGTAAGCTCATAAATGTTCTCATTAATCTTATCTCGTCTTTTGATTTGTTCACGGTTGCAAGAAATCACCACATAGAGTCTCTCAAGTCTCTGTAGATATAACAAACACAGAAATAAATAACACAAAATAAATTGTAGCTATGTGTTGATTCCACACAACATGTCCGAATATGTAAGCTAAACAATAGTGTGGGGGGAGTGAGTAATCAGGAGTTGCGTGGCGTTCAAACAAAAGACGAATCAATGAGATTTGAAAATCGTGTAACTCTGGGTTTGCGTAAGTCAGGGTAGCATAAGTCGAGGTATTACTGTACTGTAGTTTGATATTAAACATACCTGATCAGCATCAACAAATATTATTTTCTTTATGTCAAGAGGAAACAGAACATCCAAAAATAATATTTTATAGCTGAAAAGAGAAACTTAATTTGAAAATTACTTAAATTATCAAATTTATTATAATTATAAAAATTCATTTTACCCCCAGATGAGACGTTGTTTCTCTGTCTGTTGATTCAACCAACGAGGCCATTTATACTGAACAAGTTCATATTCAAAATTGTACTTCTGAGCCATTAATGGAAGGAAATCCTATTGAAAAAAATTTAATTATTATTAAAAGTAATAAATATACTATATTTTTTAAATAAATAATAATACTTAAATAATGAATTATTCGTAATAGTATATTAAGTTACTACATATAAGGTAACAATATTCTCATTCATTAGCATATTTTCTTTTAATTAAATTGAATTGAATCTGGTTACAAGAACTGCTTTTAACTTTATATTGTAGAAACTCAATTATTTGACTATTTTATAACTTGATTTATACTAATTTTATGGTTTTTTTTAAATGTGTGTAATGCACTTTAACTCCATAGAAAATAATTATAGAAAGATTATATATTTTTGTCTTTTGGTATTTTGAAAAAGTGAATAGTTTCAGATATTGTAATTTAAAGTTTACGTGCCTACAATACCATACCTGTGATGACAGGCACTCAGTCATTATGTTCTTGGCAGTATTGTCATCATGCATCAATGAGTCATTAATGTAAGTGTCACAGATATCAATTAAGACAACGCAATAAAAAATGCCTAATTTTTAAGCACTTACTTACAATATGACAATATAGTGTACAATATTCTATATACATATTGAAAACTTACGATGCTTCATATTAAAAATTAATAGCTTTTTTTCTTACATTAAATTACAGACTGCCCTCATTTTTACCCTGGTTTGATTTATTCTAGTATGCTCATTTCAAATTTCCTCCCAAAATATTTTTTCCAGTGTGTAGAATACTTTATATTTTTATTTGGTGGCAGCATAGTGCTGGTAACATTAGTAGCAATTTCTCTTTAATAGTGATTCTGAAATTTAGTGATTTTTAATCATATAGGGAAAAATTATTTTTGACTAAAAATCATTGTTTTGAAGATAATAGCAATTTTACCATTGGCACTGAGGTATTTTACTGTTTTACAAGGTATTTTCTTATACTTTCAATGGTAAATGTTCACTAATTTACTATTTATAATACAAAAGAGTATAGTATGTATGATAACTGAAAAAGACATTTCATGCATCACCAGTTCTGGGGGACAGCTTCCTGGCCTTTCAATATTGCATTGGTTTGAGTTGTATTGCATTTGCTATTTTATAGATCATTGCAAGGAAACTATGTATCCTTTGACTCAAGCATGATCTTACTGTGGATGAAATTCTAACAGCTCTAAGATATATCTCCAACTCAATATGAAGGTGAAGAGCTAGATCTAAAGTGCAGTTCTGAGTCCACAAACTCTAACAATAAATTTATACTTCATGCAAGGGTAAAAATAATAGTGATTTGTCAGAGAGATATCTTGATGATTTCCCAGAGGTATTACCAGATCACACTTACGTTCAGTCATGTAAGTAACAACTCAACAAGCATATAAATAAATATAAAATTTACATAAAGTCATACATTATTTGCACAAAGATGAATCTGTGAAAAGAATAATTTTATCTTCCACCAATATTACAGGTGCTGTAAAAAAATTATTTTCAAGAAAGACCAGATATCAATGGTCAGGCATTTAGTGTCAATGGAACACCATGGGTATGCATTGCATCTCTAAGCAGACAGATCAGAAGTCAGCCAAATGTTCTTTGAGAGAATGCTGGTCCTACAGGATATGCAAAACATTGCATGAAAGAAGAGTCCCCCAGCCACTTTGCATATTCATAAGTGATCCTATGTTGCATGTGATAAAATGACACACTGAAATGAAACCTGTATTGTGTGCAATGGTAAGTTGTGGTACTTGGACTTAGAAGAGGTCTATAGAAGCCTTCATTGCCTTACCTGCCTAAGTATAGTAATGAAGGTGTTTTTCTTCCTAATCTTTTTTGTATTTAGACACATGCCTAAGTACAAAAAAAAGCTTGTAAAATATGTGAGAACAATCTTTGTATGAGAATACAGAGAATAAGAATATTTTTCTTGAAAATTTTTTTTACTGTATAGATGTCTTCATCTTTAAAAAAAAAAAGTACAAAAAAACATGATTAAAACAAAATGAGATGAGAAACATATGATAGCAATATTTTATTATAAAAAAAACCAGCCAAAACTATGAAAGAAATGATAACGATCAATTGACTTCTTGCAGGCATTGTTGGGAGTAGGATCAATCTGGGCATTCTAGCATTAAAATGTATATTATTCGCACACTAGTTCACTATTTTAAAGTGATGATGATGTATAATAATAATAAATATAAAAAAGAACAGCCATGTCAAATAAAAGGAAATTAGTTAATCTAAATGTCCAAGTTACTAAGAAATCACATCAATCCATAATTTTATAAGATAACTACAGATGTCCTTAACCTGTCCTGTGTTATTCCAGACATATCTTGGGGTCGTGACCTCTGACCTCAACCGGTTGACCCAAGATATCTTGTTTCAGCATCGGAATGTCTTTGAAACTAGATGTCACTAGTCGTTATAATTTTTATATTAAAACTAACTTTCAAAATATATTAATAAATGTAATAACTGAAAAAATTATATCTATTTTGTTTGTGCCTTTGAATGAAAAAATAATTTCAATGATACAATAGCCATAATTACTCTTTTCAAAAATGTGTAATTTTTGTTAGGCTTAACATTGATGAAAATTCAACGTGGTGTCACATGCAACAGAGAAAACTTTGAACATCCGATAGGTTAAATGATTTCTTGCTAACTCCAATTCATTGATTGAAGAGTGTTGTGAAATGGACCCTAACTAGAAGTAAAGTGACTTTGTAAAGAGAAGTTTAAATGAAGCCTTAGAACTTTATTATGAAATTCTCAAGGAAAGGAAGAGAAAGGCACAGCAAACAACTTTGTATTCATATTTTACCAAGGTGCATGATACCCATTGATGGATGATCCTCCACCAGAGTCATCACTGCAGAACTGAAATAGCATTCAGTGGCACTGCTATATGACAAGAGGGTAGTATAAAAATTGCATGGTCAATTTCAGCTATAAATAAGTAAGTTACGATTTTCATGTTATTACATTTTGTATTAATAAGAACTTCAATACTAAATATGCTTTTATTAAATATATATATATATATATATTCATTTGTGGATTCCTGGAACACATCATTTTGCTTTGTTTATGCCACCACCTTCAGGAATGCATCACTGGTTAAAATGAGGGTAGCCTGTATTTTTTGATATTTTAATACTATTATAAATACTTACTTTAAAGGTGGGTGAGAGATAATTTTTAAGAAACCAGAATTTAACAGGTGTTTGTGTATTTTTGAGTACACTCAGCATCATTATTCTAAAAGAAAAAATATGAACAAAAATGTGTTTAAATATTTATAAATTCAAAATATGATATTAAAACACAAAGCTATTTAACTATACCTCAAAAGTCTTTCATATAAATGTCCTGAAGCTAGAGAAAATATATTAATTTTATCATCATCTTCTTCATCTTTATTCTTTGAATCACCACTGAAAGAACTAAGAAAGAAAGATGATTTATTTTGCAATAAAAATTTCAAAATTACTGAAGTAAAGTGTATCTCATATCACAATAATAAAGAAAATGATCTGATGACAAATATTAGCATGATCTTGAAATTGTATAAGAAACTAAGAATGCTAAAGATTCAAAAGTGCAGGAATGCTTCAGAAAATAAGAGAATTACAAACTTCAGTAGAAAGTTATCTGAAATTATCTTTTATTGGAAATGTTATCTTTTATATTTGTTAGAAATTAATTTATAAAGCAATTTGCTTATAGCAATTGTTAGAACAATAATCTTGATTTAAATTTTAAGATAAGGCAGACGATGGAGGAATGTTATTTTAGATATGCATAAAGAAAATTTAACTAATCCAAATTGACATCATGATAGCTCATTTTATAATTGTAAATGATGTGTAGACTTTTAAGTTTAATTTTATTTAAATAATATAGACAAAGATACCTTGATAATGCTTTCCAAATTTCCTCCCATTCGGTTATAATTCCACCAATAATTGGTAAGCTGCTTGCAAACAGGAGATAGCAAGAAAAAGAACAACAAATAAGAAAAATTCTGCCCTTTCATGATGTTAGAATTTTGTGGAATTTACTAATATCTGTGCTATATATTTGTGCAAAATATTGGAAAAGAACTTTTACATAATTTAAATCTTTAAAGATTAATGCTTAAATTTACTATATATAAAATAATAGCAATTATTATTGAAACAAAAATTCAATAAAATGCTTAATTCTAAGTTTTGCCTAACATTAAGTTAATTCTATATACAACATATTCTAATTTCCATTCCTCCATTTTGCAAAACTTCCATAAATTAAACAATTTTCTGCACATATATGCAATTTTGAATTTTGATATATTATTTTGAGATAAGTAAAGAAAATAAAATGATTTTAAAAGATTAAATATTAGAATAAGAGAGGAAAAGAAGCATTAATTCTATTAAAAATTAAGTAAATAAATATGCAACAAACTAACATTTAAAATTTTATAATTAATGGCTTAATTTGTTATATTTTGTATTTTGGGAAGTATACACATTTTGAATATAATATATCCAAACTTGATAATATTACATACTACAAATTGTGTGTGTATCTAAAATTACAAAATCTACAATTATCTATCTTAAATTACAAATGAATGATACATCAATCCACAAATAGCAGTACTAATTACCTTTTTAACATTTAATATTACAAGAATGTTTTTTCAGAGGTAAAAAAAATAAATTAAAAAGCATTAATATAATGCAGAAAATTTTATTAATTAAATCCATTCAAATAAAATGTTCAAAAATGAATATGCTAAGAAAACTTTCATTGTAAAAAAAGCAGAAGCATCTGACAATGAAAAAAGCAGCCTGCGAGTATGAGTGAAAGTGTGTATATTATGATATAACAATATACAAGGGGTAGACAAAAACAAAAAGATCCCTCATGCACAGCCCCCTTGTGCACTGAAGGCCATGCAGAGAAGTTTGATACAGTTCCCACTTATTTTTTAAATGACATTCAGCCACTTTCTTTTTGAGTATTTTATCTGGACAAAAATTTTGTACTAATCTTGTTCTATACTTTGTAATTTAAACTGTGCCACTATCTTTCTTCGGAGCCAAGATAGGATTTGGTCTCCATGAGAAAGTATCAAGAGATTATCTACTTTCTTGTAAACTTGTATTTAGCTGATGTTTAGCAGAAGCAAGAGATAGCCTGATGCAATGTTTTTGTCTACACTCTGTATACTCATTTTCACATGTATCTTACCGACAATGATGATTTCAAATTTATAATTTTTCAGCATTTCATATTAAGGTTTATAGTTTCACATCACATAAAAGTAGTTAATTATATCAAAATTATTATAAGTATATGATAATTACATCATATATCATATATGATTTACCTTGTAATTGTATTCCATATACCACTTCTGCTATCTTCATCATCATCATATAAAAGTTCTTCATATTGTTTCCCAGGTTTTTTATTAACCTATTTAAAATATACCAAAATTTGAGATATATATATATATATATATATATATATTTATTTCATATTTGAGATATATACAGGTATAGGACAAAATAATAGGAACACCTGTGAAAGAATGCAAAATATTTATTAGTAGGGAGTTGGGCCACCATTGGCCTAAATTACAGCTTATATCAGACCTGGAACTGAGAAATAAAGATCGTGCAGAAAGTTTAAGGGAATTTGCAGCCATTCCTCCTGCAGAGCGGTCTCGAGTTCAGGTAGTGTGTGTGGAGGAGGAAACCGAGCACAGACTTTGTTCTCTAAAAAACCCACACAGGCTCAATGATGTTGAGATCAGGGGACTGAGGACACCACGAGATGTTCCACTTCTTCATTATGCTCATCTAACCATGTTTGAACACAGTGAGCCATGTGTACAGGGATGTTGCCATCTTGGAATAGAGAACGTTCTCCAGGAAACAGAGTATGAAGCATAGGGTGTAAATGATCAGTGAGAATACTGCAATAATGCTCGCCTCTGACCTTCTCCCTCAGGACTACAAGTAGCCCCAAGCCATGCCACGATATCGCTCCTCACAGCATCACAGAGCCCCCCTCCATGCTTCACGATAGGAACCAGACAGTCAACACGAAATGCCTCTGCCAGTATTCACCAGACAAACACACATCCGGTGGTCTGAAATAAAGTAAATGATGATTCATCAGACCAGATGACCTGTTCCCATTGCTGTTGTGTCCAGTTTTGGTGGTCTTGGAACTACTGTCTTCACTTCATAGCATTCTGTGGCAACACTAATGGCTTCGGGATGGCTACTCAGCCATGAATGCTCGCAGCATGCAGCTCTCATTGAATAGTTTTGGTGGATATAGGGTTCTGGAGATGGGTGTTCATCTCAGAGGTTATCTGCTGCAGTGTAGTCTTATGTTTTTGGGTGGCTATCCTCTTCAACGCTTGTCTATCCCAGTCAGTCAACTTAGACTTTCACCCACTGTTCTGCTTCGCAGAAGACACCTTTCCCAGTTTTGTGTAGGCTGTCATAACCTTGACACAGTGGACCTTGAAACACCCATAAGGTTGGCTGTTCTAGATACTGACACTCCAGTGAGGCGAGCTCCAATAATCATGCCTCTTTGCACATTGGACAGGTCGAACATAATGGCACTTTGCTGGGAACAGAATTTTCTCATGCAACTGTCAACCTGCAAATCGAGGGAAATCTCTTGACATTCAAAACATGCGAAATATCTCCTTGCTGTCAATATTGGGGAAAATCTTAGATAGGCTCCTTTTTAATCGCATTTATTGGTTTTGGGAGTCCAGAGGACTGTTCCATGAAGCCCAATATGGTTTCCGGTGCCAGCATGGAGCTGTTGACGCATTGATGGACTTAGTTGGGCATATCAAACATCTGCTACGAAACTACAAGTTTGTCTTCGGCCTCAGCCTAGATCTGAGGAATGCATTCAATTCGGCCTGGTGGCCACAAATTTTACGCAGATTAGGTGAGTGCAACTGTCCGGCTAACTTATTCCATCTTGCTACTAATTACTTTGAGGATAGAGAAACAATTATCTCTCTGGGGCATCTTCAATTTACATGTAAGCTACAACGTGGCTGTCCACAAGGGTCTGTTTGTGGGCCCTTGTTCTGGGATATTTTATTCGATAACTTCTTCCGTACTGACTTCGGCTACCAATGTCGTGTCTATGCATATGCAGACGATGCCTTTGTGGTTTTCCCTGCCCCATCAAGAAACTACATAGAAAGGGCAGCCAATGCAATATATGATTGCCTGTTTTTACCAACTATCTCATATGCATCTGCTGTTTAGAGCACTGCTGCCTCTTTATCTCATAACCATCGGCGTCTGAGGTCTGCACAGCAGATTGCCTTATTACGACTTACCAGGTGCTATTCCACTGTTTCAAATGCAGCTATCCCTGTGGTGGCTGGGAAGCTCCCCATCCTCCAATTTCTTCAATATAAAATAGCAAACGTTTCTGTATCTCTAGAGGCAGGGATGTTGATATTAATAGAACCATCTTTAATGCCACCACGGTTGAATTAGACAGGCCTGTATCTACACTCCCACATCCTGCCTTAAGGAAGGGACTCTCTCCTCGTGTTACTTCTACAGAGATTGAAGCTTTTACAGATGGATCCAAGTCAACGGATGGCAAGGCAAGTGCCTTTGTGATCTTTCAGGCCGGTGAGGAGGTATACAATGATTCCTTTGCTCTACACCCGGAATGCTCTGTCTTCCAAGCTGATCTTCACTGTATTGATGGCAATCAACTGGTGCAACTCTAACGTTGTGAACAAACTGATAAACATCTTCACAGACAGTGCTGCGACTGTTGCTGTTTTGGGAAATAAGGATAATACTCACCCTGTTGCGAACAACATCTTCGCTGCAGCTTCTATGTCTCCAAGTATGCCATCAATTGGATCAAAGGACACAGCAGCATTCCAGGTAATGAAAGGGCTGACTTTCTGGCACGAAACGTAACGACTAATCCTGATACTCCTCCTGCCTACAATCTCATTCCTAAGTCAAGACTAAAATACCTTATCTGGGACAATGCTTTGGAAACCTGGCAAATGGATTGGGATGAGATCCCACAACATCATATAACAAGACGTTTTATCCCAAAGGTGAAGGAATGTGTTCACAGCAAATGGATTCAGCCCACACATGATTTAGCCCAATTTTTGACAGAACACGGGCGCTTTCGTGTTTACCTGAAAAAGTTTCACCACTCTAATTCTGACTGCTGTCAGCTGTGTGGGGTGCGGGACGGTGTCATGCACTATTTATACAACTGCCCTATGCTGGATGACATCAGGTATCAGTACATGCAGCATGCCAATAGGAACAATATTGACTGGCCAGTAAAGCCTGATTTTTTCTTAAAAAACAAGAGCAACTTTAACTTGTTAAAGGAATTTGTTTCACTCTACTCTATTAGATGTGGGATCCATTGACTTGGTCTCTTGTGATCTGATTCACTCTAGCCTTGATGCCAATGTATATTCACACCTTGCTCTGCTATAACAGCATGTAGACCTTCATGTACAGCAATGTTACTTTAGTTATATAGATAGCTTTATAAATTATAAACATTTTATTTTTTTAATCTTTTATGTTGTAGACTTAGCTTAATTATAGGTTTTACTTATTGTTAATTAAAGTATTTAATGAATGATTAATTAATGCATGTTAGGTGTATATTATAAACATTTTTTAAGGAAAAAAAATGAATAAAATTTAATAGATTTAAAAAGATCCTTTTTCCATCTTCTGCAAGTAAATTTATTGTTGTAACCTTATCAGTGACATTTGATAAGTCTGTAAACTCTTTTATAGCAGAAAATCCAACTTGCATAAACAATATAATTTATAGTCGAGTTTATAATGTCATTTAAGAATTAAGATAACGTTAAATACCTTAATAATGTATGTTTTTCTATCAAGCTTATAAAGATTGTAGATATTTTATAATAAATCTTTTCGATAAAAGTTAAGATTAGAATAGAATTTTACTTTTTCACGTCTAGTTAATAATTTTGAATCTCATGCCGCTTGTATAAAAGGCATTCTTTACAAATTTTAAAGTTAATTTAGAGATTTTTCGATGCCAATTATGTTTAAATTTAAATAAATTTTAAGTTAATTTAATTTGAATTTTTATCTGCATTGTCATATTCAAGTATAGTCGTAAAGGCGGTATCAGGAACAGATCCGTGCGTTAAATTATTTTGTAGAGAANCTGTTTTGGGAAATAAGGATAATACTCACCCTGTTGCGAACAACATCTTCGCTGCAGCTTCTATGTCTCCAAGTATGCCATCAATTGGATCAAAGGACACAGCAGCATTCCAGGTAATGAAAGGGCTGACTTTCTGGCACGAAACGTAACGACTAATCCTGATACTCCTCCTGCCTACAATCTCATTCCTAAGTCAAGACTAAAATACCTTATCTGGGACAATGCTTTGGAAACCTGGCAAATGGATTGGGATGAGATCCCACAACATCATATAACAAGACGTTTTATCCCAAAGGTGAAGGAATGTGTTCACAGCAAATGGATTCAGCCCACACATGATTTAGCCCAATTTTTGACAGAACACGGGCGCTTTCGTGTTTACCTGAAAAAGTTTCACCACTCTAATTCTGACTGCTGTCAGCTGTGTGGGGTGCGGGACGGTGTCATGCACTATTTATACAACTGCCCTATGCTGGATGACATCAGGTATCAGTGCATGCAGCATGCCAATAGGAACAATATTGACTGGCCAGTAAAGCCTGATTTTTTCTTACAAAACAATAGCAACTTTAACTTGTTAAAGGAATTTGTTTCACTCTACTCTATTAGATGTGGGATCCGTTGACTTGGTCTCTTGTGATCTGATTCACTCTAGCCTTGATGCCAATGTATATTCACACCTTGCTCTGCTATAACAGCATGTAGACCTTCATGTACAGCAATGTTACTTTAGTTATAGTATAGACTACTTTTATTTTTATTCTTTTATTTTTTTAATCTTTTATATTTATTTATTTTATTTTATTTTACTTTCCCTTTTCTCTGCCATTATATTATTGTATCCCTTCTATGACTAACAGCATGTATCTAAAATGTATTTTTCTGTATTTTTGCCTGGCTGTGCTCAGCAGTGCCAGACAATAAAGATTATTTTGACTGACTGACTGACTGTCAACGTGCAAAATGCTGCCACTGGATGGCAGACTGTTGTGACACGTGGTGGGGCTGTATTGAACGGTCGAAGTACAACATATTTCGAAAGGGGTGTTCCTATTATTTTGTCTTATATCTGTATATATATATATATCTTAAATAAATGGTAAAGAGCATAAAATATAAATGTATTTTTATTTAGTACTAACTCTGATTTTAATAATATGACTTCTGAAATTACTTATGATCACTACAACCTCAGTAGACCCACTAGGAGAATCTGTTCCTTCATGACTGAAACAGATTTCGAGAAATAAATAAATAAATATATATATAAAATATTTTTATTAGGATATATAAAAAGATTCATAAAAATATATTTTAAAACAATCAAATTTACCTGACCACATTGTAAATGTCTGAAGACCGACCTTGGCGAAGTCGTAAGAGCCAAGTACCAGGATTTGCTTTCAATTGAAAGTATCCCTAAATCAAAGTTTTTATCACATATACAATTTAAAATATTTAATTGAAGACTTAAAGAAACAAAAATTTTATTTTATTTTAGATACTTACATTAAGTATCTAAAAAAGTAAATAAATTCCAATACTATCTAGGTTCAAATTATATACCCTGAAGTGTTTTATTACAGTAAAGGTTTGTTAATAAGGCATTTACAGAACCAGAATAATAATCTGATATTTTTATATTATCAAAAATAATGAATCACTGAATTTTTTTATATTTTCACAAAATTTGGTAAGCTGGTAAATTTTGTATTTTCAGAAAATTTGACATTATAAACCTTGATGTATGCTTTCAATATAAACAAGCAACATGCTTTCAGTTTGTTTATACACACACTCTTTAACCAATCTGAAGATGATACAATGCATAACTACACAGTGTTAAGATTGATAGAAAAACAGACAAAAATGTTAATGAACACATTATTGCACAAAACCAACATTCACATTGATTCATATGCATGTATTTATCTTCTAAACATTTACTGTATTTCTGTCCAAAGTTCTTTAATACACATATCCAAACAAATTCAGATTTACAGAATACTAGTCAAAATTTTATTGGAGAATTTTGGATTATAGATGCTGGTTGTGCTAATTTAAAAAAAAAAAAAAAAAGCTTGATTATAAATTCAAAAACTAAAATTTATTTTTAGGCACTTTTTTTTAATCATATTAAATATTCTTATAATTAATTCATATGCTTTAAAAATATAGCTGTTAATTTCTTTTAAAACAACAAATAAACTAATTAGATTAATATTATAAATAAAAATTGCATCAATGATATTTTCTTTTAATTAACAGTTTTGAAATAAAATAGTGTTTGCATTGTAATATACAGTAAACCCCAGGCAGCCGAAAATCATCTGTTGTTCCGAGAATTTGTTATATTTTGAACAATGGATTTCCCACGTACCCAGGAAAATATCCGTTATTTGAAAAATTTTTCATGTTTTAATCCCCTATATATAAGAAATAAAATTATTCAAGATCTCTGTTTTTTAGTCTATAGAAACACATATGTTACAAGATCACATAGCTCATTAGCACTTCACTTGACTTCACAGTTTGTTTAAAAAATTTGTCCATCTTGGTTTGTTTTGATGCCGCTTTTCTGCTTATTAAATACAATAAAAGCTTGATATTAATGTCATGCACAGTCTGTTTTTTTTTTTTATGTTGAAACTAGTAAGGAAGGTCTTCATGTCTTGGTAAGACTATGGAATTGTTAAATTTCGGCACTCACTTAGACCAGTGTCAGAAAGTTCCCCAGGTGACTCCTCCTCAATTGTATCAGCCAACTGACTCTCTTTGTACAATTCTTCAATTGTACTGTATATATCCCATAACAAATACATCATCAAATTCTACAAATTCACAGAAATACCCAAATATTAACTAAATGTAGAAAAAACATGAAGTTTACAATGGATGGGGCTAGAAAAATCCATTATTCAGAGTTACAGATCTGCTAAAAGGAGGTAAAATTACACTAGAAAAAATCCATTATTCAGAGAAATCTGTTGTTCCATGATCTGTTAAAACAAGGTTTTATTGTATGCACTACATTAATTGAAAGATATAATAAGACAATTTTTAAAATTCTCCTATATAAATGAATGTCTTTCATTCAAAATCTGATGTTTTAAATCAATGCCATTTTAATTTTGTAGATTATTATGATACTAAGTAATAAAATATTTTTTCATATAAAAGTTCTTCATAATCAATTTATTTCTAAAACACCTCTGAATTTACAAACAAATTGAAACAAACATCACAGCAAACACATTCAACCAATCTTTGCGATCACCAGTCGCACAACTGAATGGCCAAGCACATCTGTCTAGTGTATGCCATTAAGTGTAGCTCTGTGTTTGGAGATTTAAAAATCAACCATCATATGTTTAAAAAATAAATAAATAAAGTACTATAGTAGTGTTGATAGTAATAATAATAAAAGACATATCTTTAGTTTAGAAAATAAGCTGGATATTTTAAAAAAGGACTGAATCAGTCAAACTATTGATGGATAAAAGTTTAAAATCAGTATAAGTACTACTGTAGGTTATTTTAATTTAAGAATTTTTTATTAATTCTGTTTAATTTTCTTTTTACTCTTTCCACCCTGTGAACACTAAAAGGGCTCACAATGGTGCAGCTGGATGGTGACAGACAGGGCCTGACATATCTGAATGGACCACCCCTAAAAAATTCCTAGAGATTGAATTCTGTTTAATTAAATGTATAATGAATGCATATAGGAACAGATCTTATTTGTAAACAGAGAAGTACCTGTAATGGCATAACAAAGATTATTTTTCAGTGTATCTTCATATACAGAAATAAAATGCTACAATTATATCACAAACATTATTTCTTAATCTTATACCTCTTATAATTATATATATGATATAATGTACATAATTATGTGTATGACACAATTCTAACCTCCATATTTATTATGAGCAAATTTCTACGATTTCAAGTTATAAAATAATTACTATAAAAAGTTTTTTGCTTTTTCATCCAACAATTGTTTTCTATGATAATTTTTAAAATGAAAATTATAATAAACTGCTAACAATTAACTACAATTACATAAATGATTAAATTCTGTTCATAAATTACTTAAAATTCAATAAACTATTTTAAGCTACCTGTATCACAACAATGACTTTAGACTCGAACCAAAACCAATACAACTCTTTGTACACAACAATACATATAATTTATACAAAAAATTTAAAATAATTGACAGTATAAAAAAGGTTAAAAATTTCTATCTATAGAAAACAATTAAAATCTTTAGTATTTTGTTCAAAATCTGTTGAAAAATTAAAATATTCTTTTATTGAAAAATTCTGTAAAAATCTATGCGGGAGTTTGTAAAGTGAAAATAGTTTAACAAATGCCAAAGTAGCAAAACATTAAATTTGATTTGCACATAATTTTTGAATTCAATTTAAATATATTTGACTTCTTATATTTGTTTTAATGGTATCCAAGTCATTATATATCCAATATCAAGCTTAAATTTATTAATTTCAAATGCTGACCAAAGACGACAATTTTTACTTGTTAAGAAATCTTTTGTCTTTACATTGTTAAAATACATCCTATGATTACTACTAATTTCAAGGAGACATGTTTTTACTTTATAAATACCATGTTATCTATATTAAAAAGCTTCTTATCTGTATTATTTAATTACAAAAACTACTTAGTTACTTATGACTAATAAACAGGCTTATTAAATACCCCATATTCTCCCAGCATAATGAACGAATTGTAAGTTAATTAAATAGGCTGGGTGTGTAATAAGCCTGTTCATTAATTATGCTGTCTATTTATACCAATATAGCCTAAATATTAGTTATTCGGTATTTATGTTCTGCACAAATAAAAACCATTTTTCAATTTATATTAACTGACAAATTACTCAGTTATTATTTTGTCCAATCCACAATGCTGTGTTCATTGGAGTCCACAGTAAACTAGAACAATTTTTTTAATGTAAATTTAATTCTGGTTTTACATGATAAATACATTCCAAAATATCCATTTAAAACAATATTATCCTTATGGAAAAATAGAAGATTGGTTCAACCTAAAAACCAGTAAAAATAACACTAAGCTACTAAATATAACAGGATGTGTTTATTGCATTTGCTTCATGCCTGGTTGTCATCTCTTAGTTTCATTAATGGCTATCAACATCTGCTGTAATATCAGACTTATTGCTTGATTAGAAAATCACCAACATTTATTGATTCATATTATACAGGAAATGCATTTTGGCTCATCTTGTCTCTTATCAGCCCGTATACAAGTTATACTGTATATTGCCAGCAATCGTACATCTTTTTAGACAAGTGATTACAGTATACATAGAAAAGAATTCCACTTGCATTTTTTGATGACTACCACTTTATCCATTTTTGAAAAAACCTCAACTTTTTAAATATACAACAAAAAATAATGCCACTAGAATTTTATTACATTAAATCATACAAACACAAAACTAAAATAAAATTTTGGTAATACTTTTTACCTAAATATAATTATCTTTTATCTGAAATTGATTAATGCTATATCATCTTCCAGGATATGGTGCCAATATGCTAGATCTTGAATGTGTATTGCCGTCCTTTCATAGCTAACAAAATTCTAACAAATTAGCCTTGTAGCTAACAAACAACAAAAATTCTTCAAAACATGTTTGAATTAAAAAAAAAACTGAAAATTTCAACTAAGTTATAGAAGTTTAAACAATTTTCTAATACATGTTCTGTATATTATGTTCTACTTCATATATGTAGACTAATGAACATTGGCTCCATTCTTATTCTGGGAAAGTCTATAGTTTCAGTCATTTAAGTTTAATTTATTAATAAGAAATATAATATATAACTGAATACAGAATCAGAATAAAAGTAATTTTAAAAAACTAGATTTTCTAATAAAATAGATAAATATATGATTTTTCATTAATATATGAAGGTTTACATAAAAAGAACTTCATACTTACCAAATTAGCCATAACTATAGTATCAACCATTACTGGAGATGTTTTCGTACCTAAGGTAAACTGAAGACCTCGTGGTGGGTTTCCTGAGGTTTGTTCAAAACAGTGACCTTAAAAAAATTAATTAAACACTGTAGAAAATTTATATCAAAATAAGAAAATATAATATTTTCCTGTCAAAATTAAAAGGTTAATTTTTCACATTTGTCAAAAATCTTGAAATGGGAATAGTAATTTGCAGACAAACATTACAATATATTCATTGAGTTACATTCAATATTAGTTATTCTGAAAGAATATATAATACAGTAGAGTCTCGAAAACTCGGCGTAATGTGGACCGAAGCCGAGTTTGTGAAAATGCCAGGTTATCAGGAATGGGGTTAAAAAAAAATAAGTATGAGTGTTTCCTCAGAAAATACTGTACTGTACTTGTATGTATTGTTTACTTGAGAATACAACGGAGAATAAACTGCCCAAATACCCTTAAACAAAGGAAAAGTACATCCTTTATGAAGGCATAGAGCCTTTACTACATGAAAATGAAAATTAATAAATACACTGTGTACAGTAATTTACCTGATAAGACAGACCTCAGAAAAATACTTTATGAGGCATAAAGCTGTCTATAATGAAAATTAATTAACTAAGGATTATTTTGCCCGTCCAAGGTGTGGCCGAGTTATCCGGACTGCCGGGTTATTGAGAGCTTAGTTTGAGACTCTACTGTAATTATTTATTATGACATTGTCACAATGCTGGGCTACACAATTTTTCATCACAATGTTCTCAATTTTTTTTTAGTAGTGTCTTGCTTCAGTACATCATACTTTTTCTGTTAGCAATGGAGTTGTGCCAATCATCTAATAACTTTGTTCAGGGGAAAATTTTTAAATTAAAGTGACGTGACTTCTGGCCCAAACCGTAAGTTTGTATATAGTTAATTGGAGCTTCCTGCCCCTCAGCTTTCCATATCTGGTCTTGACTTTCATCTATCTAATTGCTCTCAAGATTAAGGCAGGCCAGACAGACAGTAGATAGTGGGAATTTATAGGTCTACAATTTTTTCAAATTGCAGACCAACAAATGCAAAATAATAACTATATAACAATAAAGTTATAATTTCTTACATTATTGCAAAATATTCTTCTAAACTAAAAACCATAAAATTGAGTAATCTTATTCATTGAAGAATTGCTTAGTAATTGATCAATTTGTATTATTATTGACAACCTAATTAATTACATATCGTATGTGAAACATATCTTAGAAAAGGCAAAGATTCTTAAATATAAATTTAAATATTTAAAGTATACTAAAGTATAGTGTTAAAATATACATCATTGTCAATTTTTTATCCTTGTTGGATTTCTATCATTTTTGTAATATCACATTTGTTTGTAAACTCATACATACAATACATATGATTTTCCATCTTATAGAAATTAATAAATGTTAATGAATATAATTACATTTTTCTATTTTATAAATATATAATAAAAGTTTTTGAAACATTGCCAGGTGCTGCGATTTTTGTCCACCTTTGTACTACTGAATTATCTTATGGCATATAAAAGATTACTGTGTAAGTTTAATAATTTCAAAATATACTTTAAATAACAGATAGAAAATTTAAAGAATTAATGTTTTTTGATTTTAAAATAAGTCAACCATTTTTTGGCCTTAAACTAATTCAATATAAACATTATTAATACAGTAGAGCCTCGATTATCCGACCCAATTGGGGACTAGGGTTGGTCGGATAATTGAAAAGTTGGATAACCAAAAAGTATGAAAAAATCCATTATTAGTGTAGTATATTATTATATCCCATGTAATTAGTATATTAGTATATCGCTATTAACCTATTTTGCGTTGAATTTTCATCGATGTTAAGCCTAACAAAAATTTTTTAAAATAATAATCGTCGCTATTTTATCGTTAAAAATTAGAAAATTAAGCCTCGTTTAAATACGGGCTCCCTTTCATGGTCGAATGAGTTTTGCCAGCTAAAACACGTAAAAATAATATTAAAGTAGCCAAGACATAGCCAAATATTGTAGCGCCACATCACTAGCGGGCATTTGAAATTTGCCGACTAGAACGGTCGGTTAACCGAGATGTCGGTTAATCGGAGGACGGATAATCGAGGCTCTACTGTATACTCAAAAAAACATTTTTTATGTTCCTTAGAATATAAGTTTGTATGGTCTATAATTAAAAATGTATAAACTGTAATAGGGGATTCTAAACATTTTGTAAATTTTTAATGTAAATGTTCATTTTGATTTTTAATATAATGGTAAAGAAATAGATTAATTATACTAATTTTAAACTATATTTAGTAAAAATTAATTTATGTTAATACATAAATAATAATTTTGGATATCTAAGATATAAAAAATGTTCTACCTTCTATCAATAAATGTTCAAGTTCAAATTCTGCATATATTCCACTCTCAACCTGAAACAGAATTTTTAAAAAGATATCAAAATCCAATAATTTATAACTTAAATTCATAACATTTTTAAAAATTCTATAAAGTAAATGCAAACTTTCTTCAACATATCAAATGCAATAAAACTATATAATTTTATAAAGCAAAATATAATAATCTATGTACTAATACATCTAGTATATTAATTATATTAATACATTTATAAAATTTTGTATATACGGTGTTCCTACTAAAATTTTTGTTCTAAATTCCGTGACATTCCCTGACCAACTTTGTACAAATTCCCAGACCATCACGTCCCTTATGGTATGGCACATTAACATAATAAAATATCACTAAACTTATTATCTATATACACTATTGCTTCTCCAACTTTTTAACTGGTTATTCTTTCTAATTAACAGTTATATATAATCAAACAGGCATTTCAAATTGATCACGTCCATCACCTGGAGGCCTGGGAGATCTACAAAGCCAATGTTGGGAGCACCTGTATCAACTTTAAAGATGGAGAAACAATAGCGAAGGCATGAAGATACCTATTTGAGGAATTCGAATGGGGACAAGCGGAGGGGTGAAATGTGATACGTGCAATATTTTCATCTTGGACGACATCGTTCTAATGGTCAAGGGGAGACAATGCTTAGTCAACACCTGATGAAGACCTCGGTGGAGGTTGAAAACGTTAGTGGATATTGTAATGAACACAACACTGATAAAGGTTTTTTGTGGACAGTTAATACCATTTGAATTAATATTAAGTTATTTATCATTTTTGGTTCTTTATTCTCATTTTTTTCCATCAGTTCATTAACATCTGCCCTCAAATTGAAAGTGTAAATTGCAAGAGATAAAAAAATTTTGAAATATTTTAACTTTCTATCAACATTAGATTATTAAGAAAATTAGATTTTTCTCTCAAACTTAAAACTGCTGTATTAATTATGCATTATTATAAGATCTAAAAGTATTTTAAAAATAACAATTAATATTGTTGTATGCTTGTATATTTTGTTTGTGTAATTTTCGGGAAATTTTGTGTATGTTTGGGAGAAATTTTGGATCCTGAAAATATTCTGTACCCCTTTTCATAAGTTGCATTGTACCACAATACTTTTGCTGCCTGCAGACAGCTACACTTGGTCAGCCATATTGTCAGCAAACAAAATCAATAAGGCACAACCAAGGAAACACATTAACTGACTTTTTGACAATTTTTAACAAATTCCCTGACTTTCCTGAGCACTAATGAAAATCCCTGACTTTCCAGGTGTGTAGGAACCCTGTATATGTATATAGTTATTTTTATTTTAATGTTTTTTTTGTTTTCTTGAAAATCTTGCTTTCATGTTCTAAAAAATTACAACTGCTTTTGTAGAAGCAAAAAATTACAATTTAGATTCAAATTCAAGAAGTTCTCAAATAATTTCTTACAAACATTTTAAATTAATCTCATTAAATTAAAGTCTTGTAAAAATCAATAATTCTGGAGACCAATATAAGCTATATGAAAAGATATTTTTTTCAGAAAATTATCATAAATATGTAATCATTATTAACTACATTAATTAGTAATTTAATTTCATTGTGAGTTTTCTTTAGTGAAATTACAGACATGTAGTTTGTTCAACAATTATTCTGATCATAAAAAAAATATACTTATATTTAATGTAAATAATAAAATATATTCACTGTAAAATTTTGGTATAAAATTATAGATTTATATTATTCCCACTTTTTGTAGCAAATTCAAACAAAAATTTTTGTTTTATATATATAATTTTTACAGCAAAATATAAATAGCACAATTTTAACATTAACTCAATCACTGATTATTATTGTATTAAGTTACATTTATTAGTGTGAAGTTGGTATTTTGATTCATAATCAAGAAAACAGAAACACTGTTCAAAATCAAATTTAACTAATTATAGACAAATAACTTAAGAATCTAACAAACATTTTTTAAAACACTATTATTTTAAATAAAGTATGAAAGTTTAATATTCAAGGAATTATCTAAGTTAAATTGATATCTTGACAATAAGAGTGAAATCAAAGCAAATAATGTTAATAATAATTTTCTTTTGAAATATAAGTTGTCATTTATATAAAAAATGTGATGGAATATATTCATTATATATTTTTTACTTGAAAGACAGGTTATCATCATAATATTAACAACATAAAAATATTTGTATAAAATAAACTGTTTATCTTTTATGCTGTATATTTTGCATCAAAAATCCATTTAATATTAATATATTTTATTTTTTACAATTATTCTGTTTGATAAATATTAAGAATATTAAGTGGCAATATACTTTTCCCCCAACTTTCAATATCCATATTAGATCTAATGATATCATTATTATATTTTATGTTTATTATTAAACAGACTAGAGTATCCTTTGTTATTCAAACATAACATTTGTTAACAATATCAAAGTATAATATTGGTTACAAAAATATGTTAACAAAATTAAGCTTTTTATAATGTGTTTCCATACCTAATGTTTTTATAAATAGTATTATATCTTTTTTTTAATTTGTGAAAAAAAAAAAAATAAATAAANATATAAAAATATAGAATATTACTACTTTTTATTTAAATATGAAAAATAATCAATGAGTCATTCAAAGCTGGAACTTAGCTTAACATTAATCAATATCACACCTGGAAAGTATCAATATCAACATATTGTTGGAAGACATAAGGAAGATATTATACTGATTAATAATTTAAGATAAAATTGTTTTCAATTCATTGCTGTTAGTTAACTTTTCTGATTTAAACATGAAAATCTTATTTTGTATCAATTTACTTATTTCAAATTAAGTATAATTAAATATTAAAATTTCAAAAGTTCAACTGAAAACTAGAGTCAGTCATTTTATAGGAAATAAAGAAGAATCCTTACGAAGTTTACAAATTTATGGTAGTTATTATTATGAATGTCATGCTAAGCTGATGCTGGTGCCAAGTGTTATGCTGGACTAAAGTCAAAACATAGCTACCTAAACAAGTGTAACATTAAGCTGTATTATTGGTGTATGTTGAAACTTCCTAAGAATGTCACATGTTCAACGCAGCTTTCTGTAGTGCCATGTATATGTTTTTATTAAGGTTTAATGTTTCTAGACTTTTGTGTAGGAACCAAGGTACAACAGGTACAATAAATGTAAGGAACCAAGTCCGAGCATTATTTTTATTTACTTTTATTTTGCTTTTTATTATATTTTTGTTTGGGGCTTATGTTTTGTTAGGACGAAGGTTTCCTCACCATTCACCTTAGAAACTTAAAAATAGAAGAGAAACCAACTCACCAACGAGAGAAAAGCGCTGTAGAAAAAAAACTCACGCACACTTGCGTTCCCGAGCGGAAAAAAGTAAGTCTGCACCAAGGAAAAAGGGGGGGGGAAGACCCCACAAACACAACTTAAATTCGCTAAACCTTAAAAGAATAAAACATCCCGAAAATTGTAAAAAAGAATAATGTAAAAGGTTAACGAGTATTGTCAGAAAAATAGGCTGCCAGACAAATATAAAAAAATTTATTGTTAGTGAATAAGTATGTAAATGAGGGGAGTGATCTCATTCAGAATTGTGACGTCACCTCACAGTATAAAAACTGAACGTCAAGTGAAGTTGAGAGAGAGGTGAACTCCAGATAGCAACGAGCTTGGTGAGCTTGGTAGCAGTGAACAAAAGAGAGGTGTCCGATAGGATCAAATAGTTCCAAGGCGATTTTGAAGTTGTTCGATTTGTGGATCAACGAATAGAGAAAGTCTTGAGAGTTGAGGAAATAGGTTCCTAGTATATTGAGGTGACGATTAGGATCTATAATTCATAAGAATTATTGTATATAAATTAAGTCTTTGAATTTTGTCGAATTCCAAAGGGGAATAGATTTAAGTTAGAAACTAGATTGATTTGAGTTTTGTTGGGTTGATTCTTGTTGAGTTTCATTGAATTTGTTATTGGATTTTACTAAATATTGTATATAGTTATTATTAGAATTATCAATTAAATAGTTGATTTTGTTATTGACAAACTTGGTCAGTATTTAATTCAGTGCACGCTAAAAGTCCAGGCCTGGCACACTAACGCGAATCCGCGTAAAGTACCCGTTAGGGAACAGCTGTATCTGGCACACAGTTGTGTCAATAATTGTTGGAAAGTCGGAAAAATAATATAGTACTTTACATAAATACCTTATCCATCCTCCACATCTATCTTATTTCTTGAGCAAGTGGAGTGTACTTGATTTTTTCAGTGTGAGCAATTTTTATGTTATGAGTGTTTGGAACATTTATTTACTTATTTATTCTATTATATAAGTGATCTTACTGCATTTGTCAATGAGAGTAATGTCAGGTCTATTGTGATAAATTGTTTTATCTGTGATTATGGCTCTGTTATAGTGTATTTTGTATGCGTCATTTTCTAAAACTGCCCATTGCATATATTTGCATGGCACCTGGATGTTTAATAATCTGCATTTCTGTGCAAGCTCTTGGTGTATTATATTTACTATTTGATTATGCCTATGTAAATAGTCTGTTTGTACTAAGAGCTTGTAACCAGAAGTTATATGTTGTATTGTTTCTGGCAAAATGTAGCATTTTCTGCAAAAGTCATTTGTGACTGATGTATCCTTTAGGATGTGTTTTCTGTAGTTTTTAGTGTTTATGATCTTGTAAGGAACCAAGTCTGAGCGTTATTTTTAGTTACTTTTATTTTGCTTTTATTATATTTTTGTTTGGGGCTCATGTTTAGTTAGGACGAAGGTTTCCTCACCCGTCACCTTAGAAAGTTAAAAAGAGAAGATAAAACCAACTCACCGACGAAAAAAAGAAAGCACCATAGCTAATACTCGCACTCACGTGCACGCCCGAGCGGCAGATAGTAAGTCTGCACTGAAAGGGGGGGAAGACCCACAGACTTTTAGGAACTTGTTAAACCTTAAAGGAAACATCCCGATAATTGTTCAACAAAAGACTGTAAAAGGTTAACAAAGTATTGTCGGGAATTAAGCTACCAGATAAACAAGAAAAAAGTGAATGTTACGTGTAAGTATGTAAATGAGGGGAGTGTCTCACTTAGAAACTGTGACATCACCTCAGACTATAAATAGCGTAGCTCAAGTGAAGACGGCAGAGGTGAGCTCCTGAAAAGAATAAGCGTTGGTGTGCTAGTAGTAGTGAACGAGGTGTCCAATAGGAAATAGTCCAAGGCGATTGCAGTATTCGATTTGTAGATCGAGGAATAGGAAAAGTCTTGAGTTGAGAAAAAGGTTCCTAGTATAATTGAGGTGACGGTTAGGATTTGTAGTTATAAGATATTCTGTACCTAAGTTAAGGATTGATTTTTGTCAGAATTCCAAGGGGAATAGTTCTAAGTTAGAATAAGATTGAGTTTGTCAGGTTGACTTTGGATTTGATTTTATTGAATAAATTTGTTGATTGTTGTACATATTGTAAATAGTATTTCTGGATCTTTATTAAATATTTTTTTGATTTTTGACTAACTTGTCCTTAATTTTCTTCGGTGCACGCGAAAAGTCCAGGCCTGGCAAGAATAAACGCAAACCCGCGTAAAGTACCCGTTAGGTAACGGCTCTTTCTGATACCAGAATTGTTGTAGAGCAATCCGAAAAAAATAATAGTACTTTACAACCTGATCTCAAATGGCAACCATAAACCCCACTCTCTCTCCAAACATGCAGCCCCTATTCAGCAAGTAGTTTGATGCAGTTTAGTCAACACAGTCTTGAACTAAGTATAGGCATATCTGCCATGAAATGCTTTTGGGTCCATGACTGCTTAGTGGTGTCTATATTATTTGTGTGTTGAGCTATGTCCAGGTGTTCAGAGTGTAAGTTTAAAAGAGATGTGTGGTTACTGTCTGCCAGAGTTATAGATTTATGTAATCTTGATGCTTCTTGTTTTTTTTGTGGAAAAACTCCCGCAGTGTCAGAGTTTGTTTGTAATGCAGGTTGACTTTATTAGTCAGGCCACGGTAACCTTCTTTATGAGGAAGTGTTAGTCTTTTTACAATGATTTCAGATGACATTGTTTATGCTTAGTAAGTGTTGTTCTTGTTTTCCTTTGGAGTTACTAGAGATCTGTGCATGTCAAGTGTATAACTCCAAAAGAATAAGTGAGTACAGGGACAAACTACATATTAATTGCTTTAATAGTATGTTTTGCATTTAGGTAAGTTCTAATCATTAGGCAAGCATGTAATTTGTTCTGATATTCAAGTGTTAACCTTTGTTCTGTTTTTAAGTTTGGCCTGTTGGAATCCTAAATATTTGTAAAACTCAACCTCTTCCATAGATTCAATATCATCTCCACTTCTAAGTACAAAGGAGACTGTCTCCTTTCTTCAAAATTCCTTTTTCAATGTGGAGTGTTTTACATTTGTCTAGACCAAACTCCATTTGAATATCATTTGATTGTGTGTGTGTAATTTGTAAGAGATGATAAAGTTAATTCTGTGTGGATGCATAAAGTTTGATATTGTCCATGTACATGAGGTGTGATAATGTGAACAGTGTTGTTTTGTTGTGTCTGATGTTGCCATATTGTGTTTTGTTCAATGTTAGACTGAGGGTTAAGTGCAAGGCAGAAGCAAAGAGAACTCAATGAATCTCCTTGAAAAATTCCTTGCTTAATGTATATTTGATTTGTTTTTATTTATTTATTATTATTAATAATTTTTTTAAAAAACTACATTAATCAACTTACAATGTATTTTAATTTCAAGTAAAATTTATTTTATAAAAAAGAAATTTAACTATATTTTAAAATGTGCATGAAGATAATATGAAAAACAGAGCAAACAACTTAGAAATGATGTTCTAATAAGTAAAATTATTATTTGATCAAATATCATAATTTTTAAACTTTTGTAAATGCAGTAGAGCATCATTCATCTGAATCAATTGGGGACTGGGGTTGTTCGGATAACTTATTTTTCAGTTAACTGATTATGTACAAAAAATATATGTGAACCTATCCCACACTGAAATTTTTCTCTGTTGCGTGTTGCTTTGTGTTGAATTTTCGTCGATGTTAAGCCTAACAAGAATTTTTAAAAATAATCATGGCTACTGTATCATTAAAAATTATTTCTTTATTTTGTACAAACGAAATAAATATATTGAAAAATATAAAAACAAAAAAAATTATACTTTGGAAGTTAATCTAGTATAAAAAATGTTTGATTCAGCATGACTGGAATGCTTTCGCTTAACCGACGTTTCGGTTGATCGGCTTTTGGATAAATGATGCTCTACTGTAATTTTTAAAAATTTTGTAATAAAAGAGAAATTTATTTTAAAAATTAATCTTTTTTTAATTCTACATTTTAATTTTAATTACAAAAGTAACATATTTCAATAAATTTATTCATTTTTTTTTTGTATTCTGCTCCCAAAATAATTACCTGTTCTAAATGAATATTATCCAAATCATATGGAGATCTGACAGATTCCACCATCCAATTTTCTGGTGTTATCATTCCAAGAGTAAGCAAAGAAGTTGTAGGTAATTTATTAAATCGTGCCATTGGTCCTAGTACAGTTTGTTTACTTGAGGTAAAGTGTAATTCTGGTTCCAACACAAAACGAAAAAAACTAGAGTGCAATTTTAAATGTAATTAATATCAATACCATCTGAAAAAGCAACCTTAAAATAAATTTACCTTTTCAATGGCATACTAGAATGTTTATCAATGCAATTGAAAAATATTTTTAAATGAGAATTAATCACTCTTTGAAGAACCAAGAGAATCGCAGAGAGTTTTTGAGCTCCTCTAGATACTGGATCAACAATGGCTATTAATTCATGTGCTGGTTCATCCGGATCAGATGCTGGAATTTTTAACACACTAAAAATTTAACATTACATTAGTTTATACTTCAGAAGCTTTCAATTAAAATTGTTTCAAATTTAACCCTTACCTATGCTTATCAGCATAAAATTTGATATCATGCCTTGTTCTTGAGTTAGTTTGGGCTAACAGAACAGATGTTGCTTTCATCATTATATTACTAAACAAGAAAATGATTCATTTACATTTTTCTGAAAGTATGATTGATTTTATTGTTTTATTAAATTTATAATCTTGAATATATTTTTAAAATTTAAAATTGTTATATAAAAAGTATTAAATTTATAAATCTTCAAAAACTATGAAAAATGGATGACAACTATAGAAGAGTGGAACAGAAAAACTAAAATAAATATATATAACTTTTAAATGACTCAAGTAAAAATTATTCTACCTGTCTGCTTCAGCTGTTTCACTTTCTCCCTTTAGCTCTTTACTTAATTTTTCACCATAAACATTCATGGAAAATTTTTCCAATAAATTGAAATCATCATCTAAAAATTCCTCCCCAGACTCAAAGGGGCCTATAATCTATATTTTAAAATTAATTACACTTAACATCTTTTAAAAAATAATTTCCAAAAATATATCCATTTAGATTAGAAAGTACCTTTCCATTAGCTACAACAGCTCGGGCTCCTGGAGCTAAACCTAATACTATCCGAGCAAAAGCACTGTGAAATGCTAAAAACTGATCATCTTCCTTTTCCAATGTAGCTTGATACTCATCTGAATTCATATCCTTTGAAAAATTAAAACTTATGTTAAAAAGTCTGCAAACATTTTAATTTCATTTTAATGAATTGTACACTTACAGAAAGAGCAAAATCAATTGGTTTTCTTGTTCCTTCTAGTAGCTGAATTGCATTTGTTGTTTTAATTAATTTTGTAATGAATAACTTTGCATGATTGCGATTTAGAACTTTTGTGCTGACATACACAGCTTTAGTAATTATTCTTTCTTTAAAAGAGTCTGGATTTAAGGGGTTGTGAACAATTCCAATACGTATTTCATTACTTGTTTTCTGAAACATTAATAGTATAAATTAATTTACTAAAGGAAAATACAGTAAATGTTATATTCAAATAATAGTAATAATAATTAAAAAAAAAACATCTAATACAATAAATGAAAAATATATTTTTAATTTGAAAAGCTAGCTGAACTGAAGTATCTACACACTTTTTGGTTAGAGAGAAGCAATTCTAATTTTCAAACATTGATTGTGGTGTACTATATACACTAATATAGACTAAGAATATTTAAACTCACACTAAGTCCTCACTTATTTCATTAAAATGAGGGGGAAAAAAATACAAAAACATTTGTAATCATTTACAATTACTGTTGATGAATTTTCTTACAAACACTAAAATAGATTCTGAGATGGGAATTAAATGCTGGAAATTGTAATCGTGATCCAAGATTATTATTATTAACCAAATTGTTTTCTTGAAATTTGATTATTGTAATTTGCATTCACTACACACTCACCTTTTTCAAAAAATTAAAACCTAAGTTATATCCACATTAACAACACACAAGACAATTTAATTATCTGTTATGGTAGCTGTTTATTCGTTCATACATATATATGTCTCTTTAATCCGAAATATTACAAGAATTCTGGTAGACTCTTACAGCCTTTAGGTGAAGAACATCCTTTATTGAAGATACATGTTATATATGCATTTCGGGCTTATTTTATCTTTAAGCTCCTCTTCAGTGCTATATTAAAAAAAAAGATTTTCACGATTTTTTCTTACAAATCCTTCTGCCACACTATATGATACTTCTGGGTTTTTTTTACATTATTCATAAATCCTTATTCAATAAGCATAAATAAACCATAAAAATTTAATATATAAATATTTTTATAATACAAGGAAGTTTTTTCTTTTTTAAATACATTACCTTTAAAGTGGGCATATATCATATTACATTAAAATTCTAAAGAGTCACCAAAAATTCCCGAAGATACATTTTTAATCTCAAACAGTAGTAGGGTAACTGTAATTACAGTAACGTTCTAAAATTATTTACAAAAATAACCTTTTTTTGGTATGATAAAATAGATTTTTATGTCAGAGGATATAATCTACATGTGTTATATTGTTATATTACTAACTGTTCTAAAATTTTTAATATAGCACTGAAGAGGGGCTTAAAGATAAAATAAGCCCGAAATGCATATGTAACCTGTATCTTCAATAAAGGATGTTCCTGACCTAAAGGCTGTAAGATAGTATACCAGAATTCTTGTAATTTTTTGGATTAAAGAGACATATATATGTATGACATAATTTAATGTCAATATAAAATGAAAACAAATTTGCCTTGTTGTAGTTTCCATTTCAAATTTATACTGTACCTTCTATAGTTCATTAAAATCACCAAGTATTTGTTTTTGAACTATGTAATCGTAAGTTGTTCTCCTTACAATTTTTGCTTTGCAAACACTTACTCTTTATTATCCATCTCTAAATCATCATCCTCATCATCTACCAGTGATGAAAATAAATCATTAAAGATGCATTTCCACAGAACAATATTTATAATAATTGTTTTTTTGTTAAATTAAAATCGATATTTATATTGTATTATGTAATGGATTTTCAAATTGCATTAAAATTTATTAATACAAACAGGAAAAATGTGTTGTTTTCTGTAATTGAAGACATCACCATGCTGATCATGTCTGTCTTTCCAAGCTAGTGATTGCATATTTAAAACATTGTATAGTACAATGATATATCACCAACTTCTAGATTAAACAATGTGTAGAATGACAGTATTGTCAATCTTCACCCCTTTCATATATATATATATTATAGAATAACAGAATACATAATAGTAACTTTTGTTTTCTTCATATTAACAAACATTTTTATACAATGATTTATGTCTAGGTAATTTTCGTGAAAACATCTTCGCACATATTATTCAAAATTCATTGAGATTATAAAGTTCCACACATTATCATCATAATTATATCAGTTAAACAGTTGATATAATTATGATGATAATATGTAAAATGTAGAGAATAATAAGTATTACTGCATTGTAAAAAGGCAATAGAAGGTATTATTATAATATAGAAAAAAATCAGTTTCGAAATGAAATCTTTCCTTTCAAATCATTATTGTTGTTGCAAGTACAGGGGGACTTTACAATTAAAGTTTCACTTTGAAATGGCCATTAAAAATTACTGGACAAAATACAGTAAGCTCCCAATTATCCGTGTGCGGATTATCCGGTTTGCAGATTATCCATGCATGAATTTAATTTAAAAAAAAATAATTATATGTGTATGTATTTTTTAAATAGTTAATTGCTTTCATGTTTACACATCCTCTAAGTGTGCATGTGTTCATATTTAGATGTTTGAAGCAGGTGGGTGGGGGTATATGAAGTCAGCTGGACTGGTTTTAGTTAGGCTGCTTCTTTCACGCTGGATGTTTCTTTTCAGAGGAGAAAATAATAGTGAGTACATTTATACAAAGTTTTCTTTAGTTGCATGTTATAATATGTATTACAATTTAAGATTTGATATAACTCTCCCACAAATACGTTTAGTGTAAAATTATGTAAAATAAGATGTTTTTTTTTTTTAAATTTTCAGATAAGTACCCTTAAAATGCCTAATAATCGAAAGAAAGTCGTACTTGTCATAAAACAAAAACTAACGTTAATTGAAAAATTTCAAAAAAGGTGAATCTACATGTTGTATTTTAGAAATAAATAATTATAGGCTGAATTATCCGTGCCACCTCTCCCCACCATTAGCCCGGATAATCAGGAGTTTACTGTATTATCAAACTTTGTAATAGTTTACAGGAAATCATGGGATTTTATTCCTCCTCCAAAAAAATAGTTCAAAAATTTACCACCAGCGAGTAATGACGCTGTATGCAATACTGTTAAACAAAATAAGACATGAAGACATTGGTTGAAAATAAAAATGAACAATTTGGCAGAATTGAAAAATGAGATACACCAACATGTCTGTAACATTCTTCCTGATACGCTAAGAGCTACTGTTGAGAACACAGTAATGCAATTTAACTTACTTTCATAAAATGGTGGATGCCACATTAAACAAGCTTTATAACACATTTTAGAAATGATTAAAAACATTTTCAACTGATGTCTTCATGTCTTATTTTGTTTAACAATATTGCATACAGTGCCATTTCATGCTGGTTTTGAACAATTTTTTTTTTACAGAAAATAAAATCCTATAACTTCCAGTAAACTATTACCAAGTTTCGTAACATTTTGTCCAATAATTTTTCTTTTATAGCCATTTCAAAATGGAACTTAATTATAAAGACTTTGTATATCAAGTCATATTTTGATTACTTGAGCTATTTTTTCAAAGAGTATCTTTGTAATGTATGTATTAACAATTAAATATTAACATGGAAATATCTGAATTAATTGACTAGGAAAAAATTGTAGTAATTGCTCAAATGTGCTTACATAAGTTATAATTACATAATTTTGACAAAATATAAATAATTATCCATATCAGTGGTTCTTAACCTTTTTATACTCGTGACCCACCAAATATTTCATAATTTTTTTGCGACCCCCATTTTTTAATAATAATATATATTTGTTAAATTATCTATAATAAATTGATTTTTTATTATTGCTTCATTTTTTTATATAATAAATATAAAACATAGCTAATAAAATAATAAAGTTATTTAAATAACATTCAAACTCTACAATTAAACATAAATGTTCATTAATTTTTAACAAAAAATAAAATAAGAAACATTTAAAAATTCATAGAAAAAATGAAAAATATTTGAAAATACGTACTTGCAAAAGGCAGCAAATTTTTCATTGCTGCTGAAAACAGGAGGATTTTCTGCACGAATTTGTATGCAAAATTCCAAGCATTAATAGTTTTAATAGTTTCTTAGAATTACTTTGAAATAAAAGAAGTAAATAGTGTGGTGTAAGTAGCATATTTGCATTTATTTCTTCTGTGCTAACAAAGTTGTATGTAGGAAAAAATAAGAAATAAATAAAAAAAACTAAATACGATAACTTTATCTTTCTTATTTCACTTTTCAATACGATATTCAGTTATACATCAATTTTCTTTTTATTATATTCTGAAGAAAATTTTGCATAATCTGGCGGCCCCCGGCAAACTTCTTACGGACCCCCAGGGGGCCGCAGCCCCCTGTTAAGAAACACTGATCCATATAATATTAAAAATATAAAAAAATTATTATTTAATTCACTAAAATAGATTTTTTTTTATAGATATGCATTATAAAGATGTTAAAATAATTTATTGTTAAACAATTTAAGTATTTTTTTTTTAAATGTTATTTTATTAAGAAAACCATTTTAATAAAATAACATTTCTTTTTTCAAATAATAATAATTATTCAAAAATTACTACATACTAGATGAACAAGTGCAGCATTCAGCAGTTCTCTGCCTTCAGGTGTTTCTAAATCTCCAACTATCCACCAAGTTAATGGTCTAAACACTACTTCTTCTGTAAAAGGAACACATTTACATCAAATTAAATTTCAAATATAGAAACTTCTTAAAATTCCTGAATAAAAATTGAAATGTAATGAAAATATATAAAAAGTAACAAGAACAAGTTTTTATTGTAAAGTTGACTTACAGTAAATTTAAATAGAAAACAGAAAAGAGATTTTTTTAAATTTAAAATAACTATCAGCTAAACAAAAAACAACATATAATTTATCTCATAAATAATTTTATCTCAGTTATCATTTTTTTAGTTTGAAAACAATATTGCCATAATTGTTTTCTATTTTGGTTTATATATTTTAAAATATGTCCCAAAATATCAATAATCAAAATAACATTACGATAAAAAAAATATAAAAAGTTTGAAAAATAAGTATTTAAAAGATAAGACAAAAAAATATTTAATTTTCTATTAGCCATTGCCTCAAACCTAAACATCATATTGATCACAAATGACTTTAATGTGACTGTTTTATCATATCATTTTTATTGACTTCAATATGATTTTCAGATGTGTAAATTTGCCTCTCTTCAGTTGGGTATAATATTATATAATATTAAGTTAATATGCTGGAGGCAGTATGGAAATTGTTTTTAAATACATTTTATTATGAAAAACAAAGTTGATACTTACCTCTTTTTGTCAAATAATTCATATGTGCAGCAAACGTTGTTGCAAAGTCTTTTTGTGACATATATGGTAAATCAGCTTGATTGATTCCTTCAACTTTAATTCATATAAAAGTAATTAAAATTTTTCATAAATAAAATATGGAAAACTACATTAAATGTATTAATCATATTTACCTACTACTCCTGTTAAATCAATAAAATTCTTTCCAGGGGTAAGAATCTTTTGATTTAATCTTGGCATGACATTTTTCTGAGACATTAGATAATCTAAAACATTGTGAAAATCAGATAGATCTCCCTAAAATTATTTAAAATCGTCATTAAAAATAAATTTAAGAAAATTCAGCAATAGTTAACTATTTCATTACTTACTTTATACACACTTTTTTGAATAAAAGGAGTTTGTCTCATAACTTCAGTTAGTATTGCATCTTCAAACATATCTACATTCAACTAAAAATATAATCTCATTTAAAATATTCTTAAAAAATCATTAAACTTATTACATATAGTAGTTAATAACCTGAGACTGTTTTAATGCAACTCCATTTATAAGCACTTGAGGAGGATTACCAATTCCAGTTCTATTTATGAAATCCCATGCCAACTATAAAATAAAATTATTACTTATTTAATTTTTTAAAAATATTTTATAACTAATAAATATACTTTTACAAGTAAAATTTACCCTTCGACCTGTATCATAATCTGAATCATCCCCAAAAATAAGTTCTAAATCTTCATTTGGATACTTAGAATGAAAATGATTTTTAACAATTTCAGGTGTAAACTCTTTTCCTTCACTTGTTGCATAAACCTAAATGTTTAATACAAATATTTGATAAAATAAATTGTAAGATAAATCATTTTAAGTATTAAAATTTTAATAATAGAATTTTTAATTCAATCCTGCAATAAAAAAAAATTACTTCTGTAATGAAAGAAAGGCCATCATAAGGTGTTTTATCTTGAGCAATAAAGTTGAAGGCATTTAAAAGAGCTACTCCAGCATTCTCAAAGCCATTCAAAGAAGTATCAGGATTAGCAGCAAATATGATTCCAATCCTATGATATGAATATATTTTTTTAACAAATTATTAAAAAATATCTACTAGACTTGTTAAATGGTGAAAAGAATTAGTTCTAAAAAGAAATGAAATATTCTAATTATTACACTAAAAATTTATAAAAATATCATCATTCACTATGTTATAGAACTAAATTTACATTTTAGTAGTAAAATACTTTGTGAAACATGATAATGCATATAGTTTCATAATTAAAATTTCAGAAAAGTTGTTATAATTAAACTAAATGAAAGAATTCTACTAGCAATAGATAATCTAATGTATTAATATAAAATCAAAAGAGTAAATTTTATACATTTCATAAAACTATATTTGTTAGTAACAAATCATATATTTATCAAAAAATTGAAGTATAAAACTTCAAACAGGCAACAAAATGGTTATAATTTAAGGCTTAATATTGAATTAAGTTCGGTTCATGCAAATAATTTTCATCATCTATTCTGTGTGCAAAATCATCCTTTATTCATTTGGAACAAAATGAAAAAAATAAAAACTTTATTGATCTTTAAAATTTTCTTTTCATATCAAATATTAATTATTATGATAAATCTGAACAGAGTTTATGATTTCCTATTATTTGACTTTACTAGATAAAACAATCTTTTTTCTAGTAAGTGTAGAATAGTGTAACAGTTCGCTCTTGGTAATCCAAACTAATTATTACTCGGGGCTGTTCAGATTAGCGAGTTACATATGTAAAGAAAAAGAAACTGAAAAGAATTACAGACAAATAAATATAAATAAAATTTTTTGAACTGTGTAGTACATATTAATTTAAAAAATAATCTATAATTTATAATATAGAAATTAATTACTAATATAGAAACCGCAGATATCATCATATGAAAAGAAAACATATGTGCTCAACTGAATAAAAAGATGAAAATTTGCCTAGTGTTTGAAAATTGTCACTACATTGTGTCTGTGTAAGCTATAATTTTTTTTTTGTTTTTGGCTAAAAAATTTAGCAGAAAAATAAACTAAATGGGTTCAAATCAAGTGGCATTCAATTAGTAAAAACACACTGTATATAATCTATAAGTCATTGTATAAAATACTGAATAACTTGAATGTTTAAAACATTGATCTAAAAGTGATTATATATATATAGACATACAGTCATACACACTTTATAATGTAAAATTTTATTTTTACAGATAAGAATAGCAAGAAAATTTCAAAAATTTATTCAAAACATTAAACTGAGAGATCATTTTTGTCAAATAATTAAGTATGTATAATCTTATATTTAGGAATTTCTCTCTTTTTTTATTTTTATTACTTTTAGTATTATGTAATTTTAAAAACACATAACATACATGCAGCCTATTAAAATATAATCCATAAAAATAAAAATCATTGTATATTTTCTATTATTTTACTGGTAGTAAAACTTTTTTTTTTAAATCTAGATTCATTCAATCAGATACATTATATCTGTTCACTAAAAACTTCTATTATTTATTTCAAAAATCATTTGAGTTTATTTTAATTACCTGACATTTATACAAAGTCCATCAATTATAAGTTCGACAAATCAATGAAACATTAATGAAAGTTACACAAAGTAAATTTTTTAATTAAATAAATTAAAATATTCAACTTCAGATAATGATTTCTCCTTAACTTTGAATTTGACAAATTTTTAAATTTTGTTTTTGTTTAAATCGGCAATTAAATTTAAGCATTTTATTAACTAAATTGAGATAAATAGTATTCATTAATCATTGTGATTTTTAATGTTTCTTATTTTAAAAATATAACAAAGAAAAAGAAATCTATATTAGTTGGTTGTACCTTTGAAAAAAATTATTTATAATTTTACAATTAATCATTTACAATTGACTGATATAATGAATAAGATCATTATAGTAGCAAAAGCATGTTAAAATATTTTCTTTAAATTTAATGATTAATTTTCAAACATTTAAATAATTTATTAAAAAATTAACTGTTTACATGTGTAAAATGTGTGAGACAGTTAACTTTAGTAATTCAGACTCTCCATCCCGCTATCATGGGTTGATATGACCCATGAAATATTTTCATCATTTCCAAGAATGGAATCAATATATTCTAATTGGTTCTCTAAAGATTTTAAATAATTCTTATAGAAACAATACATAATATACTGCAATATTTCCCAACCTGTGTGTTGCAAAAGTGCCACAGGTATGTCATGGAAATATTAAATATTTTTTTAGAATTTCAAACAAACTTTTTAAAAATTTCATTTATCTTTTTACTGCCAGCCAACCAAAGGGAGAAGGAGGTATTCATTAAAATGCCTATTATTGCAAAATTTGCAGCTCCCTCATAAAAATTGCTTGTATCTTTGCGTATACAGGCATACCAACATTTTGGAGCTTCTGTAAACATTGCAGTTTTAGAGTTTAAAGACTGATACTAACTCTCTACATATTAATTCAATTAGACTTTTTATTTTTGTAGTATATTTGTAAAATTGAGTTTTTGTCTTGGTAGGTTTAACTTCCATATTATCAAACTTTTTTAAAAAAGCCATTATTTTAAATCTTAAACGTTTTTATTTTAAATTTATGGTGTGTTGCAGAAATCTTAAACTCAAAGTGTATCACTAATCAAGAAAATTGGGAAACATTGATATACACCTATTAACATCTCCTTTGTGAGAAATTTGGAAACAACAACAAAAACTCACAACTGTAAATTTTAAATGCTTAACATTACCATGTTAAGCATTTAAAATTTACAGTTGATCATTTCCATGCTACAATGTCACAAGATGACATTGTGTTCTTACTGCTGTTCTTACATGAGATTTCTATTTTGACAGTAAGTGGTGTCCTGTACTTAGCATTGCAACATACTGCAATGCTAAGTACATACTTTTTCAGTTTATGGTATTGAACTCCTAATTATTATTAAAAATGAACAAACTTTAATTATATTTTTGAGGTTTGGATTATAAATGTGTTATATCAAACCTTTTTTAGTTTGTAAACCAAATTAATAATAAATTTGGTACTAATATTCTATTCCAAATGTCACTTGTCTAGAACTGCAGCAAACTCATATTCAATGCTTGTATTAACAAATTTTATTTTCAGGCTAATATAAGATTAAATGCATTTTGAATCACAATACAATAGTGATTCTTCTTAAGTAACAAAACTTTTACCCAAAATTATTCTTTCATAATGAAACAGATTCAAAATATGTCCTTCCCAAATTTTCAAAAACTTAAAAATAAGGACCATCCTAATACATTTATTTGATATTATTTAGTCTGGATAAAGAATAACTAATCTGCAAATTCATTAATAATATTCAGTAATTTTAATTATTGAGTTAATATATAATTCAAAAAATAATTTTTTTATGCATTTAAACAATGAACATAACTCAATATTCTTATGTAAAACTAATCAAGTTAGTTTATAAATATGTATGTATTATGATCATTGTTTTAATGTGTTTAAGTTATTGCATTTGTTAATAAAATTTTTATTACATTCAGAAATAGAAAATAAACAAACTGTTAAATCATAAATAAAGTTTCTTCTCAAATATACTTATAATAAAATTTTAATCATCAGTTATAATTAAATTTATTTAGAAATACATTTAAAAATATTTTATAAAGCAATTCATAGTATATATAGCAAATATTGTTCTATATAAACACAAATAATAGTCGTAAAAATTGCAATTGTAAGTTTTACCTGACAGGAGCTTTATGGACATAAAATGATTCTGCTAATTTGAAAATATCTTTTGCATCACTCTGACTTGGATCAGCAATAATAATCTTTAAGAGAAAGAAAAAAATAATTTAATTATTTGAATTTTCTTACTGTTTCTTACAAATAATAAATTATTATTTTTAATACTATTATTAATACTACTGATCTGAATCACTATAATGATTTTTACGATAGGTTTTTTTAAATCTTTTTTTTGTGTCATAAAATCAGTAGCCAATCAATGTTTTTGAAAAGAACGAGGAAAGAAAATAATACATGCATTTAAGCAAGTATCACTGTAATTATTTTTTATTTGAATGATCAATCCCATTTTGATATTTTTTGAGTAACTGGTGTTTGTAACGATGGAACATGGAAACAATTTTGTAGCTTTGATAAATTTTATATATACGGATATATACGGAACCTCCATTATCCGGATTTTCGATTATCCGGATTGTTCAAAATAAACAAAAATTTTACGAATTTGCTGATTTGCACTTGGCGAATTACGACACTGTTTATGTACGTGATGTAATGCATAACTTTTTTTGTTTCAACAACATCTAACCCAGCACAGTGGTCGTAAACTCTTAAATATGTTTTATGTAGTAATAAAAATATAACTTGACATACATATTTATAAATACAGTAATTTATATTCAAATTACATCATTTCTATGACCAAGGGCGGCGTAAGGCATGGACGACGTGAGCCACCGCCTATGCCTCGCGTCTGAAGGGCCTCGCGCCTCGAAGGTTTATGCATTACTTAAAAGCCGTGAACGCGATAAAAAATTTTACTCGTCATAAAACGATAAATAGTTTGTCAAATTTTTATTCATAAAAATGCAGTTTCAACTGCTTTTTATTTTATAAAATCCGTTTTCTTGCGCCAGCAGAGGGCCTTTTAACAATAGGTAGTCTGTTAGCGTTGGTCAGTAGTAGTCCAAATTCAATACAAACGTTTGTTTCTTACAAATTTGATCACGATTTAAATACAGTATTTACTTTTAATATTACCGATATGTCATTGAAAAGAAAATGTGTTGTATTATCATTAAAAGACAAATTAAAGTATTTGTTTCGATTATCCAGATTTTTCCTTATCCGGACTACCTTCATCCCCAATTAGTCCGGATAATCGAGATTCTACTGTATATATATTTTATTCATAGTTTTTGTTTTTACTTCACTGATATCAGTCAATAATTATAACAATCTTGCATTAATATATACTAGAAGCTGGCAATCTTTTATGATCACTGTGCCAAAATAAAATAATATATGTTCATAGTGATTTTTATTTTACAAAAAACATGTAAAAGTGCTATATTCAATACAGAATAATCTAACTTTACCATTTTTAAAACTACAAATTTTATTTTATGAAATTATTAATGTGAATAAACTTTCCTGAAAGAAAATACAGTGGAACCTCGGTATACGACCTTAATCCGTTCCCGATGTTTGGACTTATACCGAATTGGACTTACACCAAACCAACCTTTCCCATAAGAAGTAATGTAAAAATTATTAATCCGTTCTCGTGTAAAAAAAATGGCTGGCTTTAAACACCTCGCTTTCCTGGCTAGTTCCTGCTTGATTTTTTGTGAGATCATCGTGTATCTTTAGCTTTCTCGCAAATAATTGCTTCTGATACGCTGTCTCCAGCACTGTTTTTCAGTTATCCAAAGCAAAAGCAATTTCTCAACATGATCTAATGTCTCCGATCTCTGTTTAGAAATTGATTTAACCCCTTTCACAATGTTAGCAGATTTAATAATGTCTTTATTTTTGTGATTGTCCATATCGTCGTTCTCGGAATATGGTAGGCAACAGTTAAAACCTCGAACACACATGCCACCTTCGTATTTCTCAACAATCTCTTTTATCATTTCCATTGTAATTCTAGTCATTTTTCTAGTTTTCTGTCACTTTCCATTTGCCTTTTTGCACTTCGTGATTAATAAAAATAATAAAATTTTACTTATGAATTAAAATCAGAAGAAATTTAACAAAGTTATAAACTGTTGCACTGCAAACGTCTAGTCTGGTGTAGTACACCGATAGTGCTACTTGTTTATTGATGGTGCATATAATTGAATTATGTCGTATACCAAACAAAAGTCGTATACCGAGCAAAATTTGTTTCGTCCAAACAGGTCGTATTCCGAATTGGACGTATTCTAAAGCAGACGTATACCGAGGTTCCACTGTACATAATTTTGAAGTAAAAAATACATGTATGTATTTTAATCATTTAATTACATACAAATTTAATATGGAACAATATTCACATTTCTGTTGTATCCAATAGTTTGAGGCTGTAAACAAATATGAAAAATAGTGAATAGTTATCAGAAGATTACTCTTCATTATTCTAAGTGAAGCTTCATCTGTGAATGATGTGTTGAATTAATTTCTAATAAATACAGTAAGAGAAATTTTAAAATAGCTATTGGCTTTCTATTTTGTATAGTTTGGGTCACCTGCATTGCTGATGACTTTTGTAGACTTAGCATAGGTAGGTAAGCTACCACAAAAATGCAACAGCTCAAAATCACTAGCAACACATTATTGAGCAAGGAGCTGCCATATTGGTATGGCATGTCATGAAAACTACATAATAATGCTCAATAAAAAAGGCTGAACTAGAACAAGTATTAAAATTTTATGCTTTAGTTTGTGGTTCACATAGCCTATGTATTTGAGTCTGATGACCCTGTTTTCTGTTTCATCCAATGATAACAGTAGTTATGCTTGCAATATTTTTTAATGCTGTTTACTTTTAAATGTGTGAGAATAACAGTAAGGGCTGGCAGAGAGTGAGAAGAAAAAAAGCATTAGTGTGGGAAACCTAGCCCCTTGTCACCCATGTAGTTACATCTCTGATAAGAAGAATTTTGTAGCTGAAATTTGGCCAGATATTTACTGACACTTTGAGGTGATTATATGTGAACATGTTTGTCATAAAAGACCAGAACTGTGGCATCATCATGACAGTACTCTCATATACAGTCTTCAAAATGCAAGCGATTTTGGTAAAAAATAACTCGTGTCTTCATCCACTTTTCTTACTGGATTTAGTCCCTTGTGGCTTCTTTTCATTCTCCAGAATGAAATTGAAGCTCAAGGAGTAGCATTTAGTTACAATCAAAAAGATCCATTCCAAATTGCAGCAATGCTTCAGAATTTTTTAAACAATGGCCTTCAAGGAGTGTTTGGATTACAGTAATACCTCGACTTACGCGAACCCAGAGTTACACGATTTTCAAATCTCATAGATTTGTCTTTTGTTTGAGCGCCACACAACTCTTGATTACACACTATTGTTCAGCTTACATGTTCAAACGTGTCGTGCGGAATCGACGCATAGCTACAATTTATTTTGTGTTATTTATTTCTGTGTTTGTTATATCTACAAAGACTTGAGAGACTCTGTGTGGGGATTTCTTGTAACCGTGAACAAATCAAAAGACGAGATAATATTAACGAGAACATTTATTAGCTTACATACATCCAACTTGGATTTTACACAAATTGCGAATTATACCCCAACTTATGTGAATTCGACTTACGAGGTTATCGCTTGGTCCCACCTATCGCGTAAGTTCGGGGTATTATTGTACTATATAAGTTCAGGGAGAACTATTTTAAAGGAGATGGCAGCCAAATTTAAATTAGTTAAGTATTAAAATCTTTATAGACCAAATCTGGTTTCTTTTTGATTGCACTTCATATATTCCATATTTTTGTTTATTAATAAATGATTATTATTTATTACATCTTTGTTAATAAATATCTATGAACAAAATAGCAAACAAGAAGTTTTATATTAATTTTCAATTATTAAGTTTTGTATTTTGCAGAAGTTTAGTTTCAGTTTGTAGCTAATACCAATACAATTATATTGTAGAACTGTTTTAACTCCCTTTTTTTTTTTATCAGATATTACTTTACTTCTTTGTAAAAAATATAAATTATTTCAAAATTATGACTTGAAATATTTATAGCTTTCTATAAAGCTATAAATACCTATATAAAAATATAAATAAAAGTTTAAATTATATCATTAAATAGAAATCTGAAAGTACAGTAGAACCTCGATTATCCGGACTAATTGGGGATGAAGGTAGTCCGGATAAGGAAAAATCCGGATAATGGAAGCATATACTTTAATTTGTCTTTTAATGATAATACAACACGTTTTCTTTTCGATGACATATCGGTAATATTAAAAGTAAATACTGTATTTAAATAGTGATCAAATTTTCAAGAAACAAACGTTCGTATCGAATTTGGACTACTACTGACCAACGCTACCAGACTACCTATTGTTTAAAAGGCCTTCTGGTGGCGCAAGAAGACGGATTTTATAAAATAAAAAGCAGTTGAACTGCATTTTTATGAATAAAAATTTGACAAACTATTTATCGTTTTATGACGAGTAAAACTTTTTCGTCGCGTTCACGGCTTTTAAGTAATGCATAAACCTTCCAGGCGCGAGGCCCTTCGGACCGCGAGGCATAGGCGGTGGCCCACGTCGTCCATGCCTTACGCCGCCCTTGGTTATAGAAATGATGTAATTTGAATATAAATTATTTATAAATACGTATGTCAAGTTATATTTTTATTACTACGTAAAATATATTTAAGAGTTTACGACCACTGTGCTGGGTGAGACGTTGTTGAAACAAAAAAAGTTATGCATTCCATCACGTACATAAACATAAACAGTATTTCGTAAAACAGTGTCGTAATTCGCCAAGTGCAAATCAGCAAATTCGTAAAATTTTTGTTTATTTTGAACAATCCGGATAATCGAAAATCCGGATAATAGAGGTCCGGATAATGGAGGTTCTACTGTACTTGACAGTATGTCAATTTATCCCAAAAGCAAAATGGGAAACTGTTTCTTCACTAGAAAAATTATATTGTATTACATATTTAAACAAATTTTTCTATGTGAGTGCATAAATTAACAAAATATTAAAGTAATGCAAAAATAATAATACATAAAATTAGTATAAACAAAAAGAAATTTATAGAATATACTTACAAGATGATAAATATTTTTCCTAACATTTCGTAACATTCCTGGATATGTTGGTCTTAATAAATCTTGTACACTACCAGGCCAATTTTTATAATGTCTGTCAGTTTCAATATCATTGATGTACTAAAACAGAATTTTTTCATCAAGCATTCATTTAAAAAATAACATAATTTAAAGTATATTTTTACTAACCTGTACAGCAGAATCTCTTATATCAATTGCATATTCCTGTTTATCTTCTATAAAATCCATTTTCAGTAATTTGGATACTTTCGATTCCTTTTTTTTTTTTAATTTTTAAATTTTTTTTTTCAAATTAACAATTTCTTTAAATATAAACTTTAAAAGTTTTTACTTACAGGAACTGAAACACTATGGAGTCCTTCTATCACTCTAGTTTCCTGTTTTAAAACTTGTAGTAGTGTAAAAATATCTGTTACTTCCATATCAAAATACATTCCATTAATAAATAATGCAGTATCACTAGGTGCAATATTATGATATTGGATGAACATCTAAAATGTAAACAATAAAAATTCTCTCATTAAACTACACAATTTATTAAATAGATTTCTTTCAAAAACATTTTATAACCTGTTGATTTTTTTCTACTTCTTTCTTTAAATCACTGCTTACTCCTATATGAATTAAAGATCGAGCTTGAATTGGAAAATTTTGAGCAACATCTCCCATTATCCTTAATGATTCTTCAATTGATGAGCTCAAAATACGTTGAGCTGTTTGCAGGCTTAGTTCTGAATTACAAGAATATATATATATATTTTTAAAGAAAAATAATACATGATTTTCTTTCAACTTGTTTTAATTAATTTCAAAAAAATTGTAAAACATTTTCATTAAAAATATCTTTTCAATATAATAATTGTTTTTATGTATAGCAAATTATTAATAATAATAATAATAATAATAATAAATTTTATTGTCTATTGGGAATTACTTCCCTATTACAAGGGGTTGTAGAAACATGTATCCATATTTATTTTTAATAAAACTATACATTTTCTTTAATTTTTTAGTTTGCATTTATTTCTCGCGTACATATGCACATATTCTTTAATTTAATTTGTTTTGTTATTATAAGTTTCTACTATTTTACAAAAATAATTATAAATATTATATAATTCTTTTTTACTCATATTATTAAATTTTTTTAACAATTCTATTAGCGAGTTGCAATTATAAGAGCTGTTTATATTATAATGTGCACGAATTTCCTTTAACTTTGGACACGTTAATATTAAATGATAAGGTGTTAAAACGTCGACGTTACATAGAAAACATTTAGTTAATAAACTTATATAAGTATTATTGACATACAGCGAATTTTTGTTTAGACGAAGTTGCATTATAAGTCGTTTTATATTCAAATTTACTGGTTGCCATATATATGGTTGCATTGAAGGAATTTCAAATATTTCCAAGTACCACGGATGATATTTACTGTTGTATAGGGAATTCTGATCTTTAATTATAGATTGAGCTATAGCTGATTCTAACATCAATGAGTATCCTGATTTCCAATCTTGAATTTTGTCCTTGAATAATAGATCTGATACTCCAAAGGAGTTAAAAATAGTTTGCAACTTATTATACCATAGTTGTTTATTTTTTTGTAGTTTACTTTGTCTTATATTTTCTTGATATAAAGTAGTTAAATTGTTATCACCGTTGAAATTAAGTTTATAAAAAAATTTGATAATTCGCTTTAATATAAACGGAAATAACCATATTCGATTCGTTTCGTGACGTAGTGCATATCCTGGTACTGTTCTTTCTATGTGAAATAGTCTGCGTAGATAATATATGTGGAATTGTTCGAGATGGTAGATATAGTCCAAGCACCAAATAGGGCTAGCATAAAATAACATTGGATTAATGATCGAACTATAAAGTTTCATATGTATTCTTAAATCTGAAGTTTTTAATTTACTACATAAAAATAGAAGGTTGTCTATTGCTTGCTTAACTTTATTTTTAAGTTTAGATATATGCGATTTAAATGTTAGATTCCAATCGAAATTAACTCCTAGGTAATTTATTTCATTCACTGTCTGTAGCAAAATTTTTTCATGATAAATTTTTGTTTCGTTGATAGATATTTTACTGTTATTCCGAAAGATAATTATTTTAGTTTTACTAGGATTAATTGCTAAATATTTGGACTTAAAATACAGATTTATTTGATTTATTTTCCTTTGGAGTGAGATTTTTGTCGGCGCTATCACAACCAAATCATCCGCAAACAGTATATAATGAAATGCTTTCTTTCCTATAATTATTCCATCTTCTGCTTTAGAGAAAATATGATCTATATCTGCCAGATAAAAGTTAAATAGATATGGGGATAATGGGTCACCTTGAAGAACACCACGTGAATGCCTTATTGGTGAAAGAATATTCTTATTTTGCTTAATCTTTATTTTGTAGTTTTGATATAATAATGATATTGTTTCTATAAATTGAGAACTTGCACCATTTTCCTTGAGTTTTTTTTGAAGTAATGGTACATATACTGAATCGAAGGCCTTTGTTATATCTATAAAAGCAGCGTATATTTTTCTATGTTTTTTTAATAAGTATATCTGAATAATCATCATTAAGGTAAATAATGCAGATTCTGTGCCTTTATTTTTTGTGTAAGCAAATTGAAATTCTGCTTCCAACTCATAAGTTTTAATCCACTGTTGAAACTTTATTGCCAGTATCGACGTAAAACATTTTCTGAGTGTAGATAACAGGGCTATTGGTCTATAATTTTCTGGAGACATTTGGTCTCCCTTTTTGTAGATCATCGTTATTATTATTGAATTCCATGATTCAGGATAGGATAATGTTTTATACATTGTATTAAATAATTTCAGTAGTTTTATTTTGGAGTCTGTTGACAGGATTTTTAAGAATTTAGTTGGTATGTTATCGTCTCCTGGAGTAGTATTGTTCTTTATTTTTTGAATAACTTCTTCCAGTTCGTTCATAGTCATGTCATCATTTAAATACTCATCACAATAGAAATTTTTACCTGTTGGAATTTGTATATTTTTTATGGTGAACTTTTGGTAGAATTTTTTCCAAGTTTCAAAACTTATTCCAATGTTACTCCTTCCTAAATTATCTTTTGTTCGAAATTTTTTGATAGTATTCCAGAATACTTTGCTATTATTAGTGTTGTTAATCAAATTTAATTCGATTCTACGAAGGTAGTTTTTCTTTTTAGTTTTAATTAAGTTATTATAAGTTCGTTTGGCATTTTTATAATTCGTAAAATTTTCATGATTAGGATTTTGTCTGTATATTTTTAATTTTTGTTGCTTACGGAGTTTTTCTTTGTAACAACTACTATCATACCAGATTTTTATATTTTTATTTTGCATATATTTTTTATTTTTGCTTATTATTATGTAATCATTCATTGTATTTATAAATGTTTTATACACTTCTTCACAATTGTAATTAGTTGCTTCAGGCATATTTTTAAATCGATTATCAATTTCCGATTCGTATTTTTCCAGTTTATACTTTATCTTGAAGTTATAATTTTCTATAATATTCAAATTCTCAGAAGGAAACAATCGGAATTTTGCTATTGTTGGAAAGTGATCTGAACTATCAAAATTCGTAATTCGAAATTCTACA